TGACTCACTCAACGCCCGCATTGCTGCGATTGTCTTGCGATTAGAGTGCGCGAGTAAGGCCTTACGATCTATACCCCACTGAGAAAAAGGAATCCCCAGATATTTAAAAGAAGTACAAGTAGGGAGTTCGTTATTGTAAAGAAAAAAAGAAGAATCAGCCGGAGCGTTGAGGACTTCACACTTGGTGGGACTCCAACGGTATCCAAACAGATAAGAATGAATTTCAGCTACTGCAAGCATCCGATGGACATCTACTGGATAACCAATAATTGCCACGTCATCCGCATACAGCAAACTATTAATAGGGGCCCAAGATCGGCGAGGATCATGGGGAGCAGAATAAGGATCATGGTTAGACCGCAGCTCATCAATAAGAGAACGCGGGTTCGCATGAGTGGAAGAATAAGAAAAAGGCATCCTTGAGCACAGGTTGAGCGAACGCCCAGTGGCTGGCTTAGGTATGCGAATAAGTTGTGGAAAAGAAGATACGGACCGCAATAAGCGGGGTAACGTATCAATAAAGATAGAATAAAGAAAAGGAGAAAGAATACTGCCCTGAAGAACACCTTGCTTTGGCGAAATTTCCCGGGACGCTACGTTTTGTAATATGACTTGGACGACAATGTCATCAAAGAGATTACGCAGTAAGCGAAGCAGTCGTTGGGATACATAATGTCCCAAAAGTTCCCATATGATCAAGCGATTGACACTGTCATACGCAGCTTTAATATCGAGGAAAACAACCACGGGGGGAGTAGGCAACTGCTCTTGCCCTTGGACACGAGTATAAAGCCGCATGAGTTCATCGAGACAAAGTGCTTGGTCGAGAGTACCCCGAGAGGCACGAAAACCACCTTGCGCAATGTCTAACTGAGGCATCGTTGAGAGAAGCTCAGGTACCAGGCAACGCTCCAACAGCTTTCGGAAAACCGAGGTAAGACTGATGGGCCTATAACTGGATGGGTCCGATGGTGAACCTTTATTCTTGTAGATCGGGACTACCTGTGCAGTTCGCCACTGCCTTGGGGTCCACGACCACCTCCAACATAAGCGAAAAAGCTTATGGAGAATGACGCTCATGTGGTCAGCCACAGGTTTGAGCATTTCTGCTCGTATGTGGTCAACACCTGGTGCTTTCCGGGACGGCAAGTTCCGGATCGCTTGATAAACAGTGGCCTGAGTCCATGGGATTCGTGTACTGTCCTGGAAATCATCCATTTCTGGTGAGGGTTCCGAACGTAGGTCGATAGAGCCGCCGTACACACTTTCCAGATGGGTCACCATACGGTTAGCATCATGGAGTGGTCCTTCTGGTGATGAGAGGGTCACATTTGAACGTTGCCGAAGCCTCATCCGTTTGATCGCACTACTCATGTTCACAGGGTCTTGGTCCATCTTTTGACAAAATTGTCGCCAGGTGATGCGTCGCGCAATTCGTATCGCTTGTGTCAGTTCGGCACAAGCCGCCTCATACCGGCGACGAATTGTAAGGCGTTCAAAGTCATTGCCAGACCGTCTCCACCTTTGATAAAGGGCTTGACGGCGGTTGGCTAGAGCTTGTAAATTGGCGTTCCAAAACCATTTCCAGGTTTTATCACGGGAATCGGATGGTCCAACGCTTTGATCCAAGGCAGTATAGATAGACTCAATGAGCTTATCCACAAAGCCCTCCAGTTTACAAGCGCGCGACGCATGGTTGTTTTCAATTTCGGAAAGCGCAACTGAGATCCCTTCTAAAAGATCACCCGTAAGATCTTTTAGCCTGTCAGCGTACCTGGCTAATACCTCAGGATCTTGGAATCGCTGAAGTTTCCAGTGGCGTCGGGCAGCATTTGCTCTGGGAAGCTGTGGTATGGGCACAGGTACAAAGGATAGCTCACACAAGTGGTGGTCGGAACTAAGTGACAAGTCACTCCTTATTTGCAATTGCACGTCCAGAATGTTTGTATGCATCGAGATAAAAAAATCAATGATGCTTGCTCCTTGGTGACCTTCAAAAGTGGGTATGCCATACGCCAATTCTGAGTTCCACAAGGTTAAACCCAATGTACTGATCCAGTTGCGTAGCGCAGGGGCTCTGTCGTTGGCACGGTGATCTCCAGTATCACTGCCCAGACGTACGTTCAGATCTCCAAACACAATAGTGTGATCGTCAATCTCCAAGGAACGCCACCTTTTCTCGGCCTCTGCAAGAGAAAGTCGAGGAGGGAGGTACAGGCCATGCAGGGTATAGGGACCAATCCTACACGAAATAACATAAGGATCAGTGATGGGCAGAAGGTGAACATGGTGTGGAAAGTCGGGACGGATAAAGAGGGACAGCCCATCGAATGGTCGATGAGCCGATACCTGGCCATAGTTGTGGAATTGTTTCCATTTGGTGTGGATATTTCCTTTTGATAGGAATGTTTCGGTAACGAGGATTATGTCGATTTGGGAAGCGGTGCATTCTTGAAAAAGTTCGTAGTGTTTGGTCCGAAGACCAGCGGCATTAAAAGTAGCGATTTTTAGGCGCTCAGCACTCATTGAGATTCGTCCATTTCAGGACCATCATTTGACGAAGACTGGGTGTTAGTGGTGATATGGGCGGCAGTGTCATTGTTGTCGGTGTTGTCGCTTTGGTCGGCAGCACTGGTTTGTACAGGTTCACTGTCTATGGCTGGTTTGCGGGAATCAAGGTAACGTTGGATGATGGTCTCAGAGAGTTGCACAGTGGAGTTAGGCTGGGTAAATGATCGGAGAATGCTGAGCATTAAGTGGTAAGGGAGCCGGGAACCCAGCCGCAACAGGCGATCGGCAACAAGTGATTGGGCAAGGTCGCTTTTTTCGGCGTTGGTTTTGGTGGCATGGATAGGATCGGCAATCACCTTGGGGTCGAGGATATTGAAGTGCGGATTGATTTGGATACCTTGTTTGTTGAGTAGCGTGATGAGGTCCGATTTATATTCCTGGTTCACAAGTAGAGCGATGATGTTACGAGCGGGGAATTGGACATCCAAAATTCGGGATTGCTGAACTTTGGCCGTAGCCAGATTTTTTCTGACTTCACTGTGGGTGAGGCGGTGTTTACAATTCAAGTATACGAAAGTATACTGTGATGCGCCCGTGGGGGCGGAAAACAACCGTTGCATCGTTGCAGAGGTGATAGGACGCCTAGCCTTATTGTTTTTGGGCTTGGTAGCAGGGCGGTGGATTTTGGCTTTATCAGCCCAGGTGGGTTTTTTTGCCTCAGTAGTGGGTTTAGGCGCATGCTTAGAAGCGGCGGTTGTTAGATGCGCTGGGATCGGGGAAGTAGGTGTCTGTGTAGACTGCTTGGACTTGGGAGCGGGCTTTGGTTGGGCTGGTGTTGTTTTCAAGCTGAGCAGTTGTTGAAGCAGAGCAGCATTTTGCTGCAGTAACTCAACGTTGGCTTGCTCAAGACGGGTGGCACGAGCACGTTCCTCCTGAAAAAGTTTTTCCAGGGAAGCAAAGCGGGAGTTGAACATTTCAAGAAATGTATTCAGGGCAGGCGGCAAATGGTTGGGATCAACTGGTAGACCAGTAGGTCCGAAATCAAAAGGGTTGGGCGTGGCAGTGGTGTTAGTGACAGATTTAGTCTCTGTCATGTTAGGGGTACGTCGTTTCGCGATAGAGGGAACGTCGGTGAATGAAAAGTGCGAATTCGCTGGGCGGTCGGAAATTTCGGAAATTGCGGAAATCTGGCGTTTGCCGAGAACTTTGGGCGGGATATCGATAAGTTCGGGATCGATAGGCTTTTTGTTTTTTGCGTTTTTTGTCAGTTTGACTCGGTGTTTTGACTCGGGACAAAAAGAGGTATTTTCGGGGAAGGTTGGGTGACTGTTTTGAGGTATTCTTGGCGGAATGTTACTAGTAAAAATTGCTGTTTTCGGCGAAAGAAAAAACTATAAAAGAACAAAGAAGATACGCGCGCGACCTCGACAATGTCTCGGTTGTGTAGTGTAATGGTTATCACAGTGGACTTTGAATCCACTAATCCGAGTTCGATCCTCGGCACGACCTCTTTTTTTTCCATTTCTCCTCAGCGTTCGAATTTTTTTTTTTCGGTGTTCATCAACAGTGGAAACAGTAAAAAATATTGTTGATCATTTTTTGAAATGACGGCATCATTTTAGTGTCAGTGACGAAATAACTGGCTCGGTGCTTATGCCATTTGTTTACTGACAGAGAAAGACTAACGTATGTTGTCAGTTACGCCGATTCTTCTTTTGCGCCGATTAGATTTGCTATACCAAAGTTTAGCAAATACGGAGGACAGCGCATTGGCTCGTCCGCTCGATGTCTGGAGGAACCTTCGAGAAAGTATAAAGGACCGATGGATGAACGGGCATACCAAATGTATTGCCTGGAAAACGGAAGAAATATAGGCCAAATCCGTTCAGCGTTAAGGTGGTCCGGGAATACTTCTTGATTTGTCTGTTTCGGAATAATTCTGGAAGATTTGCAGGAAGTCTGCGAGAACCTCCTGGAGATGGTAGACATAGAGAAATGTATCTTTGTAGAAAATATAAATATGACCATCTTATGGCAGAAATTTTTTTTTTTTAAAAAAAAAAAAAACCAATAAACGACAGATTTAAACTGAACTCTAAAGGAGTACTGAAATCTGGCAATGTTCCCAAATTGCGACGTCAATTGTAATTGTTTACGAAAACAAAGTAAAGTATTTTATGTTATTATGAGTGTATGAACACGCGTTTGTTTCGGATTATTGCTCGCCCTGAATTGATGAGAAAAGAGTACGAAGGGAAAACCACATGGGAAAAGAAAATTAGAGAGCATACTGGAAGCTTTTAAGTTGATTGTTTGTAAAATTACAGTAGGGAGTTCAACAAACAAATTTTATCAAGAGTATGGACAATTCTCTATGTGTTGACCAGAACTTTGACAAGCATGCAGCATTGCCCATTATTCAGACATGAGGAAACATACAACTTGTATATGGGAACGGAAAGTGTTACAACATTAGGTTACATTGAATTTTAGATCACATTGAATTTAAGGACAACAGTATCGTCAATTGCGGATCGTATTGTTCCCAACAACGATTTTGGAAAGAAGCATGAGTCATTTTCCCAGTTGTTCTGCAATTCTCCATCCACGGTGATGATAATGGAGCAATTTCGACGCTGTTCGCGTATAGAGGCGTTTTCGTTCTTGCAAAATAGGATAGTAATAAAATCGATCAGTGGTCCCGTGATGGGATATGGGTCATTGGAATCGCGAAGATTCTTTTTGAAAGACGATGAATAACGTATGTGGACATGTTGCAGAGCTGTCAAGTGATGTGCGGTTTGGAGTAGGCCGAGCCCGATAGAGAAATCGATTAATTCCAGATATCTCAAGCGTGGGGCCATTTCGAGAAAACATTCGGCTATAGATTGCTCCGCCTCGATTCTTATCTGTTCCATCTCACTGCATCGGAGTGCTGTTCCTTGTAAGCGCATTAGCTGGTCCCAACCATAGAGCCCGAGATGGAAAATGGATGTATTCTGGGCCATTGTAAGCAAGACCTGGCGCCAGACAGCCGCGGTCCATGCGTAACAGAACCCTATTTCGAAATGTTGCAATGCCGGCAAGGAGGCCGCATAGCTGTATTTGATAAGCAGCGCTTGTTCGATGTCTTGCCACCGTGCGATGAGGTCCCGCTCCCGTTGTCTGAAATCGTCCATATCGTCATCGTTGTATATTTCGTTGAGTCGAAGATATAAACTGTCTAAACTCTCCAATATACTTCGTTGTTCTACGTGTTCGAGATCGCGGACACAAGTAATACATAGATCGGATAAGTTGGCGGGTAAAGTCCGTGGAATAGATGTGCGTGCACAGAAAGGGGCAAATCCATTGGCTCCATCCTTTTGAAAGCGTATACGTAAATGTTGGAGTTGATCAAAGTCATTGAATAGATCAAATGTGAATTGTTGGCTGTGGCACCATGTCTCTATATTGGTCCAATCCAGGGCACGAAGACGTTGGCAACCGCCCAATTGTTTCAAAATCCTCAGGATCTCGTACAGGCACAAATTCTTCGTCACAAGGCGGCTCAACTTGGCAATACGCTGTAAAGGAAGTGCGGACAGATGACCATGTCTCGTTTCATAGGATTTGCGAATAACCAATGTATCCACTGCAAGGATTTGCTGGTGCCAGTGAGGCGAGACTAAGAGGCGCTTATAGTAGATATATAAGCTCCATTTATCGAGCACAAGGTATCGCCACTAGAAAGTGTGAGACGATGAGATTTGCTGCTGTGACTTGAGGAGCATCGACATTACCACGGAAGGACGTCTAGCAATCTCGTGCCATTTGCGATTCACTTGACTCAATTGACACAGAATCCAGGGGCAACCACCACAATACTTGAAGACGGCTTCCAGACAGTCGTCATTGAGATTGAAAGACTGGACCTGTGGAAGATGGGCATCGGAAGGAAGCATGGTTTTTAATTCGGGTCGCTGAAAGCAAGAAAGGGCTGTCTCTGAAAATTGTTCAGCTGCATTCAAGCGGATGAGATCGACCATTCACCGCGAGTCATTTTTGGATTCCGCCTTTCATGTCATCTTTTGTGCTATGGAAATTGCACGCGAAATAAATATTCTACTGTTTATTTCAAAAGTCACCGTAGGAATTTGAAAATTACAAAAAATAATAATGATACAGACAAAAAAAAGAGAAATGGCAATACAAGAAAAAGCCATAAAAAAGCATAAACATCAAACGATGAAAGTAAATCAAACATAGACAAGTAAAAGATAATTAATTCGCGAGTTGGAAAATGACCAGATTAGGGAGAGAAGACAAAAGAAAACAAAGAAAGCAAGAGTCGTCAGTAAAATTATATTTTATACAGCTTTCTTACTTTATTGAAAAACTTACCGTAACCTCTGGGAAGAGGTCGCCCGCTCCCAGAAGTCCGCATCCTGGGGAGGACGGCGATAACCGCCCAGGAGAGGCGAGGAAAAATAAAGAAACACTCAGGGACAACCAAAGGAAACCCCCCCAAAAAAAACCAGACGTCCAACCAAAGGGACACAGGAGAACGCCAGAGAAAAAAAAAGCCCGACCACGCGGAAAAGGACACAAGCGGGAGACAATGTCAGGCCAAAAAAAGTTCTCCGGAAGGAACAGAAGCAACGCCGAGGGGACAGGCAAACAACGCGGACAACGGAAAAAAAAAAACGAAAAACCTTCGTGACGGGGGCCAACAGCAAAAAGACATCTTCACCAGGACGGGACCAGAAAGAAAGGAAGGATGCCTGCAAGCCCCGTAGTGATTAGATGCCCAATAGGTGCCGCTTGCCGTAATAGAGAAAGAAGGCGGTCAAACGTCGTATTAAATACTGTTTGTTATACCTTTATTCATTTACAGGTTATCGAATATCTGATCAATAAATTTTGGAGTTGTTCGGATGGTCTTATATTATGGACGCTGTCCCATCGAAACATATCATTGCATTTTTTTTTGGGGGGGGGGGAAATTAAGAAATTTTGAAATTCCTACGGTGACTTTTGAACAGGAGTATACACAAGACGAATCATCCGAAAGAAATAAGCACTTATGAACGTTGGAAAAGCAGAAGGAAACCTCGTCTGTATTTTTACAACAAAGAAACTATTTGTATTCTCGACCGGGAACAAGTGTTATGGCAAGGCTTCAATCAATCTTTCAACAAAAATATACTCTTTTTAATGCAGCGGCATTGCAATCAGTATACCAAACCTTTATGTATCTTAAAAAAAGTAGACATTGTAAATTTGCTGCCAGGCCATAATGAACCTTGCTCAGAGATAATCGCAATGTTGGCTATCATCACATGCAGCAGTTAGGGGATCGCCTGCCGCCATACATAGACATTTGCAATGCGAATTGGACTTTAAAAAAGTTTAGCCAGTCGCGCTCACCTGTCTTTCATTACCTAGGATTTCCATGCAATTATGCCCCTCACAATGGAAACAAAAACAATTGCTGGATGCAGTGACCTGTTCAAAGTACAAGACTTGTTTGGAAGAATGGAGGTTCGGAATGCCAAGATACAATTTATTGGGGATACATGGATTGCGAATAAGTGTGCTTATTTGTTTTCTTTTTGCAAGGTTTTTTTTTTTTCATGATTACAGATGGGTACAAGTATGGGTTACAAAAAGATTTTCAAAAATTATGCGTTGCAGAAATAACGTTCATACACGACTTAAAGCGCGAGTCAAGCCCAGTTGGTTGTTCAGATGATGAGAGTGAAGAAAACGGAATGGACATGGACTTGCGCAGTCGATCAAAGGCTTCTTGGGTAGCAGTCAGGGAGAGGGAGGTGGCCGGTTCAGCAACAGCGATGCTGGTTGGGTCAGCATGGACTTTCTCTCGCTTGATATCACGCTCCAGTGCATCCAAAAATAGAAGGTCATGTGGAACGGAAAACCAATAAAACACTTTTTGCTTTTTCTGCGTCCGAATGCAATTGTTTTTGTACAGCATCTCTAAGAATTCGGATTTCGGGTCCTCCAAGCAGGCATCGGTGCCTGGTTTCAGATTACGCAAGTCGCTGAATATCCCTTCTTCGAATTTCTTCATGTTGCAAATAGGTCGACCGAAAGCGTGAAATCGGTAATGGAGAGAACGGACGATATCGGTGCCTGTGATATGGAACAAGTCATTCCACAAGACACAGGACACACTTTCCCCCGTGGGTAGGACATACGATTTGACGGCGGTATTTGGATCCCAGTGATTGGTGGCGGTGGCGAAAAAGTGCCGAAGTTTCTCGATTTCGGCAAGACGGTCGTTGATATTGTCGTTGGAAGGAGTGGTTAAAGAGACCAAAGGGGGCGTTGTCTGTGGTTTCAAGTGAGTAGACCCCGTTGAATGAAGAGCGGAATTCGAACTATGAACAGTCATCATACGCCAGTGGTGACAGACACATGCTTGACTTTTTCGATGATAGATGGAAAAACTATGAGGACAGCAAACAAAAATGGTGGGCGCGATTTATATAAATGTGAGCTTTCTCTAAAAGTGGAAATAAAGCAAGGCAGAGAAAAAAGAATGAGAGGAAAAAAAAAGAAGGTAAACAAGGAAGAAGAAAACAAAGAGGTATGATAAAATCCCTACTGAAACAGATTTGAAAACGGAAAAAATGCACACTGCAGCCGGTGTAAGGAGTTTTCGAAAAACATTTTACAAAAAGAGCTTCCCTGCCGCCCCATCCGTTGCTCTTTAGGGAATGCAGGTGACTCCAACCGCCGTTGCCACCGGACCAGTAATTCGTGACCCAAAACAGAGAACGCCTCACTACGACGCACCATGACCACGGCGGTTTCTACGAGCAGATACTAGTAAGCCATTCCCTTTCAAGAGCCCTGCTTGAAAAAAATCAGGACGTCGTTTCGGTGCCACAAGTTAGCGCCACATTTTTTTTTCTTCTCTTTTTTCACGTTGGAGCGTTGTTGATATGAATACGGAGTGCGACCAAATTTGGACTTGTCAGGCAAAGCAATCCGCAAAACTTTTCCCATAGAAGTGAGGTGGCTGGCTAGAAGCTGGCTATTGGTTTTCGCAAATTTTCGACATACCCTACGATAGATTAAACAATTTGCAGGATCGCGACGGCTCTCGGCCATCTCCTATTCTAGCTGAAGCGTTTCCAGTGTGCTTCAAATCCAAGCGCTGTCAAGGAGCAGCAATCTCAATGGGCGTCGACGACACATTTCCTCAGAACACAACCTTGGAAAGTTGTTCTGCTTCCTTTTGCATACCCATTCCAGAAGATCCCAATGCAAGAATGATAAAAATGTGGTTTTTGACCGATGATACTGAATCTCGTCATTGGTCATGACAGCATGACCTGGTATTTGCAGGTACAGTCAATTTCTGGCCATATTCTACATGAATTTTTCTCTCAAAGCAAGACCATTGACGACTAGTTTTAATGAACTCTATCACTCCACGTCTGGCATTTCAAGTAAATAGCTCCTTAAATTTGCCCGATATATCATTCTGCACTCTTGATGTATTGATTTCCGGGGGCATGCAGGCGTTGCTCGCTTAACAGACTTATTAAACCGTATTTCGACGTGCATGCATTCTCTGACAGTAGCAAACGAGTCTACGAAAACTTTGGTCTCTCAATGTATTATGCAAGTCATATATGCTTTTCCTATGAATCCCAAATTTTTGAAGTTAAAAATATTTTCGTCGCTGTTCCAGGGCATTTCATTTCCGATTTCCTCATTGTTCCTCGTTTTATTGCTTCTTCCGTCGATTGCCTCATGCTTTCCCTACTTTGGCATTACCATCTCGTCCTGTTACTACTATTGGGCATCTACTGTCACCGTGCTCAAGCTTATCTTCATGAGCCCCATCCTCCGTTTACCATCACGAGACCTCTGCGAGATCAACTGATTCATCGAGGTGAAACTGTAACAGTAACATGGTAACCATCACAAACAGGATGCACTTTACAGACTATAGTCCTCATCGATTTGTTCCCTTTTCTTTCACAGGGAGCTTAGTGCGGGAACCAAATTTCCGCTTTATGGATATGCAAGTGCACGCACCTCTCACACAATAGGCAAGTGGTCGTAGCCATTATATTGAAAAAGAAAGAACTGTTTCAGTTGACGATGATTCCTGTTTAGCTGGTTTGTTACCTGCAAATGCGACCCACCAAACTCGCTATCTTCATCACATTGAACGAACTCTATCATTTTCAAACTATTCTTACCAATGGACGGTGGACGAAGATATTCCGGTGGGAGAATATCGACTCGGCATTGGGTTTTATTTCCATCAAGTGTCTCCCGTATTCCGTGTCACCTAAGAGCAATTCACTAGCAAGCCGCCAACAACATACCCTATCGCTTTACGCTTTTTTTCGATTTCATGATCTTGTTCTGGGATAATGCATGTCGTCTCCGATGCCGGGTAATTTTAGAGTTGCTTTCATGAGATGTAGCATCATTTGAAATCCAACCGAAACTGTATATACAACTGTGAATTTCTTTTCTGCAAAATCTCGCAAGGGACAAATGCCGGGTTGGACGGTTACGGACTTTTTTTTTCTTTCCCAAGAAGGTCGAATTCATGGTTTCAGGCATACGTAAACAGTTGATCCCGATGAATCGAGAGTAAAACTATTGTACATTTGATCATCAAGATAGGATTCATATTACATCATTTATATCATAGCGATGTCCTAACAGCAAACATGGTCTTTGTAGTTATGGCGTCAAATAAAAATTTCCCCAAATCATAAAATGTCAGCGAAGGTTTTCCGACGATCTCTGTTCTTTTGCCGTGTCTTGGCTTGACTTCATTTGTGCTAATTGTATGTTATTTTCAATTGCGTTGTTGGCGGTGCTATGTGTATCATATATCCAAGGCATTCCCGTGGAGAAAAGGTTCAAAGTACCTTTGCGAAAACATATCCAAATTCACCATACCAAACGACGCGCATCATCGCTTGAACCCCGTTGGTTAAATAAAGAAGTCTTGACCGGTTATCGGCACGGAAGCGGTACGTTCTGCTCAAAAGTGCACGTTTCTTGTTCATAGAGTGACTTTTTCTTCAGGATATTTTGGGGCCATCACGCTCGGGGAACCGCCTCAGTCATTCAATGTAGTGTTCGATACGGGAAGTTCCGATCTTTGGGTGGTGTCAGCTAATTGTACGACGGATTGGATATGCCGGGATCATCAACAATTTCAAAGTCAAGCTTCTGTTAGTTTCCGGGAAGAAAAATTGAACAGTGATTTGATCGATATTCATTACGGCACGGGCAAGGTGCGTGTTCATGGCGCTCGTGATACGGTGCAGGTCGCCGGTCTTGAGATCCAAAACCAGGCCGTGGCACTGGCGACCGAACTATCGACGGATTTCTTGACCACGCCTTTTGATGGGATCTTTGGCTTGGGGTTGGCCAATTTAAGTGATTTGCGACAACAGCCTCCGTTTTATTCCATGATACAACAGAACCTGGTGGACGCCTCCCTTTTTTCTTTTTATACCCAACCTGCTGGCGGAGAAATTGATTTTGGTGGTATCGATACCTCACGGTACTCAGGCAACCTAACCTTTAGCAACGTGATTGATGACACTTTCTGGATGGTGCACCTGGACTCCTTCACGTTTGGTTCCGATGAATGGAAAACCCGTAAAGTGATCATCGACAGCGGTAAGTGGTCTGGCACGCTAATCCCTTGAATCGCCCGTTTGGCCAAGAATAAAAAAAAACTGACATACAACCTATTAGGAACCACATTGATCATTGCTACGCCTAGTGATGCTGAAGCCATTCACAGTCGCATTCCGGGATCTAAATATAACGGCGACACCACATGGTCGATTCCATGCGACCTCAAGGATACATTGCCACCTCTCGTGTTTAACATTGGCGGAGTTGATCTGGTAATTCCGGCGGAAGAATATGTGCTTCTACCTTACAACGCTCGCAGTTCCATGTGCCTATCCGGTATCTCTGGAAAATACTTTGATCAACCGGACACATGGGTTCTCGGGGACGTGTTTATGAAAAACTTTTACACGGTAAAGTATAAAAAAAAATGCCTGTGTTGTGCATACGGCATGGATGGTTCAAGGTAGCTCACATCGATGAATGTTTCCGTGTCAGGTGTTTGATCTGGGTAACCGTCGTATTGGATTTGCAGAAGCGAACAAGGATGCCACTTTAGGCATGGATGCATACGATTTTATGTAATTCCACTTTCATTTTGTGTCTCTTTCATTTTTTCATTTCATACATGACTTTGTTATTTGCTTTTTATTGATCTTTTTTTTTTATTACATCATGTACTTATTGTTATGCTGTCGATGATGTTTTATGCCATGTTACGGTTTCTAACGAATGAAAGAACCAAATTATGCCTTCTTGAAATTTCTGTGTCTGCAAAAAAAATAAGAAAATAAATAAAAATAAAATAAGAATCGCTCAGCTGGGATCAATAATCAGTCATTTTCGCTTCACACAGGACCATCGTTCATATTATTCATGTGAAACATCAGGGATGCACAACATCAGCTGGTCTTTCTTGACAAGAGAGAGAGCCATCACTGCATTTGGGCGAAAACCAAATCTGAGAGAGTCCGGAATTGTTCCTCTCGTCCTAGTTGAAACTCCGACACGGGGCGAATGTTCGGTTGATGGTCCGGGCCCACAGACAGAGTGTATGGATGAACGCCATCCATCCTCTCGTTGCCCCCTCCCTTTCCTGCTCACCCTTCTGTAGTCTGGAGGTATGACCATCACCTATTATATTCCCCCTCTTTTTAATTAGCAAGATCACCACCGTATCGATGCATCCTGCGCTGGATGGATGAATGAACGGCAATGGATGACATCGAGGGATACGAATGGATGAACTTTCTTTTTTTTTTTCTTCATCGAGCCAAAAGACGGATGAGAACTAAAAGGGATTCGCATCTTCTTTATCCATTGATAGAATTAAAGCCATGGCCCAGAGACTCACCTACAGACGCCGCCTTTCTTACAACACTCGCTCCAACCGTGTCCGAGTTGTGAAGACTCCCGGTACGTAAAAGCTTCCTTGTTCGGATTTTCATTGGACTTATTTCCACGACGACATGGAACCAAAAGAAAAAACGATGGATGATTAACGCCCAATTTTTGTTTCATGTTTTACGAACAAACAGGTGCCAGACTCGTCTACCAGTACGAGAAGAAGCCCGTCAAGGCTCCTCGTTGCGGTGATTGCGGTGACGCCCTCGCTGGTGTAAGTGGCGAGTTATGAATGATTTTCTTGAAACTTGGATAGATGTTTAACGGTGGATTTTGCAACTGTGTCATTTTAGCTCAAGGCATTGCGTGCCCGTGAATTCGCCACTGTGTCCAAGACCCAGAAGAACGTCAGCCGTGCCTATGGTGGTTCTCGTTGCGCTCACTGCGTCAGAAACCGCATTGTCCGTGCTTTCTTGATTGAAGAACAAAAGATTGTCAAGCGTGTCTTGAAGGCTCAAACTCAAAAGAAGTAAAAAAAAAGGTCTAGGCATTTTTGATTTACTATCATGTTACAAGTTTCGATGACGATAAATATGGTGTGTGCTGTATGTAATGGCGGTTTCCACGTGGATTTCATCAAATAAAAAAAAAAAAGAAGAAAACACACACAAGTCCCAACCAGGCCGAAACCCAAGTTTTGACGCGCAGGCACGTGGTGCAAATGGCATGTTTTCTTTTTTCTACGGGCAGTACAATCGTGGACTTTCTGTTGCGGTGAATGCTGGTCAGGAAAAAGCCGACGTGATGGGACATGTGAAGTCCCTTTTGGTGGTGGTGGTGGTGGTGTTTGAATCTGGTGGGTGATCTGTTTTATAAATTGGGCCTGGCCCATAGTGTGGTGGATTTTTCCTTTTTCATTTCGACCAATCGGGAACGGTCGTTTTCTATAGGGAATATGCCATTTATGGTAATGTCATCATCTTTTGGAGAAATATAAAAAACGGGAATTCCCCTCCCCCCCACAAAAGCGGTCTTCAATTTTTCATCGATCTATTTCAATCTCTCTTGTCATTCAATTCGTTCATCTTTTCCCTAGTTTCTCATTTATCTCGCCCTTAGCTTTTTCTTTCTTATCCTGTCTGATTCCCCCTCTTACTCTCACTTTCATTTGTTTTATTCCTCAGGACACCCACCTACACATATTCCCCCGACTAGAAAATGATACCACGACCGGCCACCTCTTACAATCTTTCAGTCTCGTTTCTCGTCGCTTTAATCTGTGCCAACGTTTGTGGACCTCAATATGTGTATCCGATTGTGGGGACAGCTTTAACGACCAAATTTCACTGGTCAGCCCTCGAGAACAGTCTTGTCAGCACTGCTTGTTTCGTTGGCGTCTCCTTTTCAGGACCTGTGTGTTCGGCAATGATTGAACATTTGGGTATTGCGACGTATGAAAAACATATAGACACTTGCTAGTCCTTTTTTTTCCTCGAGGTTCTCTGTGAGAGAACCCTAATGCTCGATTTGAATGGAATGAAACTGACGCATGTATCTATTCTCTTATAGCACGCTCCGTTTGTCAGCTTTGTTCGCTTTCATGGGCCAATTCTTGCTCGCACAGACCTATGCTGGACGATTGCCCTCATCCTTTGCGCTTTGTGCCCTGTATCTTGTCTGCACGGGATTTGCAGGAGCCGCTGCCTACCTCTGCACTCTCGACTCTCAGGTAAAAAAAAAAAAAAAAAAAAAAAAAAGTCGATCGTTTTCGATTTTCTGCGCTTTTTGATTGGCTTCTTTATTATGTTGCCTCGTTTCTTTTTTTATCTATTTATACTTGTCATACATGCAGCATGCATTTTATTTGGTCCTTGCTATCATTCATGTTTGTTAATCGTGAACGCATCCCGTCCTTTTCTTTTTAATCAGGCTCATAACTTCCGAACCCATCGAGGTATGAGCATGGGCATCACCAGTGCTTCGATCGGTCTTTGCGGTCTCGTGTATTCGCAAATCAACGACCACTTCTTCAAAGATGAGCAAGGCGATGATGAGCATCAAATGTATCTGTTCCTCGTCTTCTTCGCTTTTGCCATGGCAGGAGGCATGTTGCTCGGTTCATTCTTCTTGGGGCCCTTAGATTTTGGAAAGACACCATCCGTTGTCGAGACCGCGCCCTTGTTACACAGTGATGATACGCCGATGATCGGCAATTCCATCCAACCACAACATCGAAATAAGGACGAGGAAGCGGAGAGAGACGAGCCGTGTTTGAGCGGCCTCGATTTTTTCACTCATCCAGTCGGCTTTGCATTGTTTGTCACATTGTTCATTGGTTTGGGTCTTGGTTATGTTTACCTCGCCAGCATTGGTCCGATTTTATTAGCGCTTCCCTCCGCCGTCGCTACCTCCAATGCCCAACATCTCCGAAACATCCACGTCTCCACCTTTAGCATTGCCAACTGTGCTTCCCGTGCCGGCTTTGGTACCCTCAGTGACATTCTAAAGTCCAAATTCGGCGTTCATCGTATTTGGGTCTTTTGGGCCGCCCTTGTGGGGTTAACTGCTAGTTTATTCTATCTCGTGACTGGTGTTACCACCCCCGAAACCCTTCTTCCCTGCACCATTTCTGTGGCCGTCGTTTATGGCATCGTCTTTGGTGTCGCACCCGCTACAACCTCTGAATTTGGTACCGATGTAAGTCTCTGCACAACCTTTTGATGGTCATGTTGGTTAATTTTCGTTCTTGGTCTGTTTTTGTTTTCTTTTGCTTGGCGTAGGTCTTTGCTCGTAACTGGTAAGTAATACAATCAGTGGATGGATGCAAAGGTTCCAAGTCCATACTGACCCATGCATTGTATCGATGTAGGGGTTGGCTGTTGTTTGCACCGGCGATTGGAAGCCAGTCTTTCAATATCTTGTTTGGTGCTTTGTACGATCGTCAAGCTAAGCGACAAGGTGTTGATGTATGCCAAGGCACCATCTGTTTCCGAAGAGCATTTGAAATCGGGATCATGGCCAGTGTCGTATGCTTACTTGTAATTAGCTGGGCCATTGTTAAAATGCGTCTGTACAACAGAATAGCGCGTTAGATACCCTTTATTGCACAAATCAACCATTGGAGTTCGAGAAGTATAAAAATAATTGCAATTTTACAAAGAAACATAAAGGATATTGAACAAGACAGTCAAAGATGATGACAAGTTAAATCATAATTAGCAATAACTTTTTAATCAAGGCATATTGTGATAATCGCTCTGGATGAATCATGAGCCGTCTTGCCCCTGGATCATGTTTGGACATCTTAAAGGTCCACTTCAGCGGATCTGTTCCGGCACTTTGCCATGAGTTTTAAGTCTTTGTAAGGTATGGACCACGTTTGAATAAGCTGTCACTTTGCGGTTTCACAAACGATATTCAAATCCTAGGCTTTGCATACACAAGTTTGATCGGCGTATTGCACCAAACGCAGTAGCATTCTTTGAGGTAAGAAAATACTGTCTTCGTTGATATAGTCGTAGATTCTGAACTCGCTTGAGCGGCTGGAAGATCTTACTACGGTAGCTCGGGCAACATTTGCTGGTCTCGAACTTCCTGGTTCGGATCGTACTGGTAAAAAATTGTTAAAAATGTCCGATCAATGCAGATGGACGGTTAAAATTCTACGCACAAGAGGTCTGCCTGTCCCACTCACGCTGGACAGAGTATGACAGGCAATCCCAAAATAAGTAATAGGATACCGTAACACCTTTGTCTCTTTCACTTATCAATCCTTGAGATTGTAAATGGAGTACAACTCCATCAAGAAAAATACTCGAAGCGACCTTTTCAATCTCCTTATTGTAATTTGCGAAATACGTATCGTAGCTTTAAAAATGCATAAGGGTTTGTGCCAAACCACAATAGCCAGGCAACGCTGATCAATGTCTAAATAGCATACAGCAACATCTTCGATCCGGGGAAAACCCATAAATAGAAACCCAACGCATTCACATAATAGCACAAGTCGAAAAAGATAAAGTAATACCATCCTCAGTATTTGTATATTTAGAGGCGAAACGCCAACAAATGTATAAGGATTGAATGGTATAAAAAAAGGGCACCCATTGAGGTAATCGTCCCCTCATTGCAGGAGTAATACAGGCATTACCAACACCAACCGCAGATGGATGACTTGTTTTCTTAAACGTATGGTTTTTGCATCGCTATTCTTTCGAGCATTCTCTGATTCGTATCTTGTTTACCAGCTTGTTTTGCGGTAATTTTCTCTTCTTGCTTCCAGAGTTTGAATTTGAGCTCGAACTGTATCCCGTGTTTTGGTTGTCTAAGCAGTCGATTTTTGCCAGGCTTGATCCGTTGCAGCTGATAACGAATCAATCATATTAAAGCCGTTTCTATATAACAGTAATTGTACTTGGAATTTTCCATTCATCAATAGCATGTTGAAATAAAACTTCTCGGCCCAACTCCGTCAAACTATTACCGCTCACACTACTCGTATCACATGTGATTCATTGAAAAAAAAAGTAAGACTAGAAAAAATTAGTTTCACCGTGGCCCTACCTGGGTACTATCTCCCTTCTTCGGAGATCAAGATCATACAAGGGTGTGGTTTCATTGGTCGATCTTATCTATTCCTGCCATCACGATTCCATTCATGTGATAAATGAGTAGAGAATAAGTACCATTCGTTTATTATGAATGCATAGAGTACATCCGGGGGAAGAGGTAACTAAAAAAAATAAAAAATTAAAAAATTTACAAAAAAAAAAATGAGTGTCTATGGAGATAAAAAAAGTTACAGTGAAATAGCGGTTGGGAGTGAGTTTATATTTTTTCCGTATTGGGTGGGGTTATTTCATCGTCGAGTCCTTCGTGCTTTTCCGTGGTATCGTTTTCATGGTCTTTCTGATAGTTATCGGTTTCGTCCAAACCGAAAGATTTCATAGGTAATGTGCATAAGAAGGCCAAAGCAACCATACAACAGGCAATGATGGTCAATACACGCTGGGCTTGGCCAAAGCAGTCGACCACAAGACTATATTCAGGTTCGGGAAGATTTTGAGCGTAAGTGACATTTCCCATCACTTGTCGCATATTAATGCCAGGGACATTCTTCATCAATAATTCAGGAATCATAGAATTCCAGAGTGATCCAGAAATGGTACTGCCAATGGTAAAGCCAATGGTGCTACCAACTTGCATCAAGGCTGTGACAATGGCCAAATCTAATGTGAAACGCACAGGTGAGTGGTCAGGATGGCTTGATTTTTGAGTTGGTCATTACCTTTTCGGGGAACAGAACTTTGAACAGCCACAGTAATAGGGATATCCAACATACCGGCACCAACACCGGCAATGGTTTGGGAAACAACCACAAAAGCATCGGAAGAATGGGGTAAACGAGCAGGAATCATCAAGCCAATACCGAGTACCATTAAACAGATACCGGCCCAGGTAAAAGGACGCCATTTCTTGGTGCGTTTCATCAAATAACCAGTGATGACTTGGAAGACCGCTGAAGCTACAGAGTAACCGCAATCTAACAAACTGGTGAAAAAGAAATGGTTAACTCATTGTTCAGTTTCAATAATGATTGATCCACTTACTTGGCGCGACCAGAGGAAATTTTTCGGGAAATCATAAGATAAAGAGGGAAATAAATCCAGTTGGAAGATTGGATTAAAGAGATCAATGAGATGATAATGATGGCAAAAATAGGGGTGCTATTAGGCCATCTTGCCCAAGGCAATAAACGAACTTCAGCGAACTTCCATTCCCAGATAATAAGGAGGATAAATGACACGACACCACCGACGAGAGTACCAATAGTAATGCTAGAGCCCCATCCGCCCCATCGAGCATTGGCCAGCACCAAGGGTAAAAGGATCATTGTTAAAGCACCAGCTAATAACAAGGAGCCCACGATATCGTAATTGATGATAAATCGGTACAAACGTTGCCCGAAAGTTTTTTGAGGTTGGGTGGCTTTCAATTGTTTCTTTTCTTCTGCCGCCGCGATATAACCGGGTGTGTGTCGGGCACGATATTCAAGACGCAAAAGCATGGCTACCAAAGGAGCACCAGTTACAGCAAAAATAATGACGTTCATCGCGTAAGCCCAACGCCAGTGGGCAAAGCCAAGAGCGTCACCAACAAAAGGTGTAACGAAAATATTAATGATATTGGGAATACCGTAGAGACCTTGGAATAAACCACGGCTCACAACATCAGTGAGATCTAATCAATGAAAAATAGTGAGCAGGTGCATTAAGAAGGAGATTGTAATCCGTCATTTGATGTTTGAGTTGATGATGGTATTTACCTCCGATGACAATGGGACCCATGATGAAAATACCGCCAAATCCAAATGCATGGATAACTTGCGCACCCTAAGAAGATCCAATTAAAAAAAAAGTCGCGACTGTGAGTTGTTATTGATGACTTACCAAAATGGTATCGTAGTTCTTGGCTGTTGCTTGAATTATAAGCGATACAATAAGAGAGATGACAGCCAAACCGTAAATAGAAGAACGGCCAACTTTGTCAGAAATCTTTGAATAGAAAGGCAATAATACAGTTTGGACAATGGAACTAACTGTTCTCAAAGTACTGATCAAACTGCTGGAACCCAACGCAGAAGTCACGTAAATGCTAGATACTTGGATAACGCTGGCTTCCCAATGAAGTACCCTAGAGAAAGAAACTAATCAGCAAAGGAAAAGGCGCGCAAAAACAAAAGCAAAACTACCAAGCAATTAACACAATTCTAGAGAAAAAAGTAGGTTAGTGAGGAAATCAGATACACATGTGAATTTGTTGTTCTTACAAAGCATAGAGAGTATATTTTTCCCATTTGGTCCATATCTTGGTATACTGTTCAGCCACATTGAGTTCATGTATGCTTTCTTCAAGATGTCTCATTATGAATCCGTTCCTCAAAAAGAGAAAATAATGAAAAAAAAAGGAAGAAAGGAAAAAGAATAAGGTACGCGATGCGACTTTTATAAAAGATGATTAGCCAGTCATTGCTTCCGAGATTTCTCTTTATCTGATCTGATCTGATTTTTTTAGCGTTTTTTTTTTTTTTTTGGTACAGTGTACAGGAACGGGGCTCCAGGATTTATCTGATTTTTTTAACATTGCCTTTTCACGACGCGCTTTTTTTTTTTTTTTTTTTTTTTTTTTTTTTTTGGACCACACAAATGGCAATCTCCGATCGCATGATGTTGAATCTCAACCAATCAAAGTACTTCTTGTCGCCTTGATTTCCTAAATGGGTGCGGGGACCTTCGGTGATGCTTAATGCGGTAGGTTGGAGATCAAAAAAGCTGTTACTCTTGTTTCTCTTTTCATGGGTTGAGTGTTTCCAGCATTTCTTTGGAAAAACTACATTATCGCGGTTCGTATGAAAAGATAATCAGATCTATTAATTTTATAATCAGATGATGATCGTTTTACCGTGATATATAAAGTTTATAAGATCTGCTCCGTATGTTAGATTCACAGTCAACTCCCGCTTTTTTCCAATCTGGTTTTTTCGAAAGCTTGATGTTTTCCAAAATCTCGGCACACCCACTTCTGAAGAAAGGCGGCGGCTTACTGTATATGAAAGAGAATCAGTCCTGTTAATTTTATCATCAGAGAGGTAATCGTTTTACCGTGATGTACAATATTTATGAGGTTTTGCTCGGTTCTTTTTTCCTGAAACCTTGACATTTTGGAAAGACGCCGTCCATTGTCGAGACCGCACTCTTGTTACACATTGATGATACGCCGATGATCGGGACTTCCACCGACTCAGATCTGGGAAAAAAGGACGACGAAGCTGACCGAGACGAGTCGTTTTTGAGCGGTTTTCACTCGTCCAATCGGCTTTGTATTGTTTGTCACATTATTTATTGAGTTGGGTTGGGTTTGGTCAGGTGTTATCAGCGCTTCTTTCCGCCATTGCAACGTCCAATTTCCCAGCACCTTCCAAAATATCCCACCTCTGAAATTGCCAACTGTGCGTGCTTCCAGCGCCGGATTTGGTACGCTCAGCGACATTTCAAAGTCCAAAGTTGGGATCCATTGGATATGGGACTTTTTGGGCCCCCGTGTCGGTTTCTTCTATATCGAGACCAGTGTTGTCACGCCCAAAACTCATTCTTTTCTGCATCATTTGTTCGGTGGCCATTGTCTAGGGCATCGTCTTTGGTGTCGCTCCCGTTACAATCTCTGAATTTGGTAACTGATATAGTCTCTGCACAGCCATTTAATAATTGCATGTGTCTATTTCCATTCTTGTTCTGCTTCCTGCTTGCACAGGTCTTCTGGTAAGTTAGGACAATGAGTGGGTGCAAAAGCCCCAAATCCGTACTGACCGATGCATTGTATCAATGCAAAGACTGGCTGTTGTTTGCATGGGCCATTGAACAGTCAGTCTTTCAATATCTGGTTTGGTGCTTTGTACGATTCTTAAGCTAAGTGACAAGATGTAGAGGTATGCCAAGGCGCTACCTGTTTCCGAAGAGCATTCGAAATCAGAATCATGGCTAGCGTCTGCTTATTTGTATTTAGCTGGCTTACTGTTAAAATGCGTCTGTACAACAGAATGACTCGTGATAGCCTTCTCGCACATATTACCATCGGAATTTCAGGAGTATAGAACAATTGCAATTTTACAAAGAAACATAAAGGATGCTAGCAACACAGTCAAAGATGATGACAAGTTAAATTATAACTAGTAGCAACTTTTTAATCAAGGCATCTTGTGTAAAAGTGGTGATTATGGCTCTGGATTAATCATGACACGGCCTTGCCCTTGGATCATGTTATTTTCATTCTCTTGGACATCTTAAAGGTCCACCTCAGCGAATCTGTCCTGGGCATTTTGCGAGTTCCAAAGTCTTTGTAAGATATGAACAGTGTACAAGAAGCTGTCACGCCGCGTCTCCACAAATGATATTCAAATTCTAGGCTTTGCATGATTTTCATACAGATCTGATTGTTGAAAGTGCCCGATCAATGCAGATAGGCGAATAGATTCCACGCACAAAATTCCGCGGTCAACTTGTCCCACGCTGGGTACAGTATGACATGCAACCCCAAAATAAGTAATAAGAAGCTGTAACACCTTTGTCACTTTCACTTGATAATCTTTGGAATTGAGAATGGAGTACAGCTTCATCAGGAAAAATACCGAAGCGGCTTTTTTTTTTTTCAAGTTTTCTTATTGTAATTTGCGAAATAAATGTCGTAGCTTCAAAAATGCATCTTTCAATTTCCCTCATCTTCCTCCCAATTTCATATTCCGACAACCCCACGCACCCTTCTTTTTTTTCTCACGCTCGCTGTCTCTCTTGCTTTCATGGTTAAAATTGAACCTTGATCGTCCCTCTCTCTTGATCTTTTTGTTTTCGTCAAGTTTTTGTCGCTTTTTTTTTTATTCTATTGATCATACCACAAGTCATATCATGGTCCAAACATCCGATGATGCTATTCTTGATTTGATGTTTAATCCCGGTAAGAGCTCGTCTTCCGCGTCAACCCCTAATCTATTCAGCGCTTTGTTCTTTAATGTATTCATACAGTCATTACTTTATAATTAGAGGCACAGGGGTTGCCTTTGAGCTCTTTTGAGTCATCCGAAGGACAGTCCCCAGGTATACATCCCCTTCATATTGGCTTGGACAGTTTATCTTAACTCTTTGACATAAAACTAGAGGACTTGTACGATGCGAAACTGTTAGAGCAGTTAAGAACCCTTGAAAAAGAAGCAATCGCACAAGCAGAGAAGGGAGATACGGACGGCGCTTTGAAGACACTTGAACAATGTATTGGGCTAGAAGCCACCTACGCCTCCGCCTATAACAATCGGTAATTAGAATGAGCTTGGTTCCGTTATCGTTGGACCCACTCATTGAATCGCAAACACATTCATCTTCGTAGAGCCCAAATATATCGCATGCGAAAAGAGGACGACCTTGCTTTAAAAGATCTCAACCACGTCATTGACACAGCTAGTAACCAGCCAAAGATCCTTCGTCAAGCATATACTCAGCGAGCCATCCTCCGACGACAACAGGGCGATTTGGCCGCAGCTCAACGTGATTTCGAAATGGGTAAGCGCATTCCTTCACCAAAGTTTCAACACACATAATTAAATAATCTTTCACGGCTTTTTTTTTATTGAAATTGGGGGACATGTCATGATCAGGTGCCAAGTATGGAAATTCCATTGCCCGAACCATTGCGGTGCGTGAGAATCCTTATGCCAAAATGTGTAACCAAGTAATGATGGAAGTGATGAACCGAGAACTAATGCGTGGTATCGTCAACGACGAGGAAACCAAGAAGGACTAAACCTCTGACATCCCCGAGTTTTCCTCCCCCTCTTTTTTTTTTTTTTTTTATAAACTCTGCACAGCATGTTTCTTGCAAATCTCTAAAAACCTTCGACCGTACTGTTCAAATCGCTCATCTGTCATTTTGGTAACTTGAAGAAATGCAAGAATTCCCGTCGGTAGTTGATCAGCCTAGTTCACAAAGAAGAAAAACATAAGAAAAACCGATACAAATTTCAGTTCCGAACATCACTGGCGGAATAGTGACTTACAATGTCTCTCAATTGGGTATCGGTGAAAATAGTGGCAGGTTGTTGGATGTTGAATTCGGACATGATCTAATCAAAAACGAGTCGGTTTCAAAAAAAAATCGTTGTCAAGGGTCTGGATCAGCCATATTTGATTTACCTTATTCCGTAGTTCTCTCAGCTGTTTGTAGCATTGTGTCTTGACGGATTTTGCAAAGGAGGATGAGGTGGTGGGCGTATGCGATGAGAAAGATGAGGATGCTTGAGCAGGTCTAACAGGTCGAGGGATGCTAGGAGGGATGGGCCGATTTGATGCATAGTTTGGAGTGGTGGAGGCGGGTCTACGTTGAACGGAAGATGATATGGACGGTGAAGGAGGCGGAGCCGGTCGTCTAGAAGCCGCACCATTGTAACTGGGACCTCCCATGCCTCTCATCTCTGTTGTGAAATTAAGCACGATTTTCATCTGCCCTCTTTCGACAGCCGTGGCCTTGTTACCAACCTACCTCATTCATTTCATTTGTTAGCTATTTTCATCCCAAGCACCGTACACACCATTAAACAATACACAAAAAAGCAAACTTACACGTAAATAGGAAGACACAAATCCTTTCGAGTTGCATTCCGTATGTTCAACAAAAGCGTCGCTGGTGACGAGGTATTTGACCAACCGATCTGCATCGGTCCGCGATAAATGTTTCGAACTACCAAAACCTTCCATATTATGGTAATCACGTTCAATGTATCGTTTGGCGCGGGAGCCACGCATGAGTTCCACCGCTTGATTCAATGTCACATTATCGGATTGTATCCGTCTCATCAAACATAGAATACCGATCGCTTCTTGCGTCATGTCTTTTTGCACCACTTGCTGATGTTGATTCGCTAGACAGTTGTCACACGTTCGATGACAAAGTGCAGGATCAAACCGTTCGTTAAAGTAGCCTAGAATTTGCTGTCGTCTACAGTCGGTCTTGTTCTCACAGTAACGCACCATTTGGTTCAGATTGGCTCGTAATCGATTTTTCTGCTGATAATCACCATCACCGTTCTCAATGAGGACAAGATGAGTTTGTGTATCGCGGTATGCATAATACAAGCGGCACTTAGCCACTAAACCGTCGCGACCCGCGCGTCCGGTTTCTTGGTAATAGCCTTCAATGGAAGCTGGCATCGAATAATGGATGACAAAGCGGACGTCGGGTTTATCAATGCCCATACCAAAAGCCACCGTAGCTACAATGACCTGAACATGGCCCGACTGCCATTCTTGCTGCACCTTGAGACGATCGGCGGGTGACATCGCTGCATGGTAGTGTTTTGCACTCAATCCAAATTCGGTTCGAAGTTTATCTGCTGTCTCTTCGCATAAGCGTCTTGATATACAGTAAATAATACCGGACTGGTTCGCGTGATGCTGATGAATATATGAATAGATATCTGCACAAATGTTGGCCTTGCTCGGTTTCGGAATCACTTCCCAGCTGGAAGGACCACAAAATCAGTCACCATTTGCTTCGGCATTCCCAGATGTTATGACTTACATGAGATTTTTTCGATTAAAACTCTGTTTGAAAATCTTGCATCCAACAATATTGAGGTTGTGCATGACATCCTTCTGAACCACTTCGTTGGCTGTGGCTGTGAGGGCCATGATGGGGACATCGCGGTATGTTGTTTTTAAACTTCCCAACAGTTTGTAATCCGGTCGAAAATCGTGTCCCCACTGTGATACACAATGCGCTTCATCGATAACAAATCGAGCCAAGTAGTTTCGACGGTGCAGTTTTTGAAAGATCTCTTGGAGCGCTCCCGATCGTTGCAAAAGTTCGGGCGTAAGATATAAAAGATGCATCTTTGGTGGATCGTTTTCCAATTCAGCAAAAATCCATTGACGATCTTTCTTGGAAATTTGTCCGTTGAGTAAGGCCGCAGCAATGCCCTTTTCCCGTACAAGCGCACTGACTTGGTCGTGCATCAACGAAAGTAATGGCGAAACCACCACCGTAACCCCACGCCGTTTATGTCGCTGGATGATGGCCGGTAATTGGTAGCATAAACTTTTACCACCCCCTGTTGGCATCAAGACAAACACGTCTTCACCGCTCAATGTTGTGTTGATAGCTTCCAGTTGATTTGCGCGGAATTCCTTCAACTTGAAATTGTGCAACAAAGCTTTGCGAACATCGCGGGACCAGGGGTATTGTGATTGTACGTTGGTTTCCTTGAATTCCGAGGTTGATGGCGATGGTATAGGTGGGATCAAAGCTGGAGATGAAGGAGCATGATGTATCACAGGCGTAGGTGCGGGTGCAGGGACGGGTGAATTGGTGACATCCTCGAATACCGTGGGCCTGGATGATAACATCATTGGCCCGCTCGTTGTATCGTTAGGTGATAGACCCGCGAGTGAGTTTGGTTCTGCGGTACTAATACTTTCTTGAACTTCCTTGATCATCGCCAGGACTGTCTTTCTGTAAAAAGAGTTGGGAAGGCGGCACTATATTGTTGGGTCTTTTTGCCACTTACCGTTCTTCCAGTAACTTCTTTTGCATGGCTAAATCGGGCGCTTCTCCGGCAAGCATGCAATCCACAAGATCTTTATTGATCTCGTTTTCTCTACCCTTTAATAATTCCAACTTGTTCCGCAATTCTTCCAGACTCATTGTGGGGCCCTTAGAAATAAACAGATGAATAGAGAGATCAAACAATGATCGTTTCCGTATTTCCTGTACCTGTGGTCCTTGAGGTCTTTCCGGTTCTTCATCCATCATCATCAAATCATCATCCAGTACGATTGACTTGTCCAAGAAAGAGTCCTACAGAACGACGAGCATATTCAGTCACATGACACCACTTTCAAAGAAAAAAAAAAAAGAAAATCAGTAGCATAGGTTACCACGGCATCGGAATCACCATAATCGAAATCCGGATCATCCCAATCATTATCGGAAAATATCTCGTTGAGATCTTGGAATTCAGCTAAAGCGGTTTCAAGGGTAGCGGGAGTTGATGGATTCCCACTACTATGCTGCGGCAGAGATGTCGATGGTGCTTCATGATCAGGCCTTGAAAAAGTCGATGTTTGTCTTTCAGAATTTGCGATAATGGACTGCGCATGCTTTTTGTTGGAAAGACTAAGCTTTTTCAGTTTACGAGATTCTTCCTGCATGGTCAAGTCAATCACAGCTCGCATATCGAAATCATCGTCAAAATCCTCGCTTTCGGCACGCGGACGTTTGCGAGTAGGCATGGACATGGCTGTATTGAGGGATAGATTAGCAAAAAGTTTTCAATCTTTTGTTCATTTTCACCATTCACTTACAGGTTGTGTTGGCTGCGGACGAGGAAAACTCGTCAAGTGTGGGATTAGACAGGTGGTTTGATCTGCTGTTATAGTCGCGGCAGCAGAGGGTGGGTGTATCGTAGGGTTTAACTTTATACGGACGGACGGAATGCTCGTACCAAGCCAAATGCTCTGCATAGTTGGACTTCATTCCTCATACTTTGTAATCCTCAAAACAAAGGAAAGGAATGGCGCTCAAATAGAGGATAGAAAAAAAAATATAAGCGCAGAAAAAAAAAAGGCGCGTCTCCAAATAAGGAAGGCGTTCCCCTCACAGGCACAGGAATGAAATGTTTTCTACGGCGGAGTTGGGCCCTTGGATGGCGCGCCTTGGGACGCGTATACGCGTGCCAATCGGCTCTGCTTGTATTCGTGCATCGTTCTGCGGTAAATAAACGAATGGGAATTGTTTTGCAGCAAACCCTTCAATTGCTTCAATTGAACCATCTTATCAACTGCGTGGCTAATTCTGCCTAAACTTAGATGACATAAGCTACTTTTATATAACAAAGATATAAAAGGAGTCCTTTACCACAAGCTATTGCACTGAATTGCGAGTGAAATCAGCTGCACAGAGGCACGAACGTAACGTTACAAGCAAACAGAGTGATTATCATTAATCCTCACATCATTCAAAATTCTACTCCATGCTGAATCTGCCCATGTACTGTATGATGAGGTTCTTTCTATCTTATGGAATCCTGTTTTCCTCTATATCGTTGTCCACGACCATGAATTTCATACTACAGTATACTAGTGATCCATATCTTAGACACGGGTTTGGGCTGTGAAATCACATGTTAATATTTTGCTACTGGAATAGCCAAAGGAGAGATTAGAGATGTAAATTTATTTTCAGGCAAGTAACGAGGAGGATTAAACGATATATTTTCAGGAATTGATTTCACTTCAGCATAAGTACATCTTTCCATTACTTTGGTCCTACCAAGGCCTTCAGCTCCTTTTCCATGGACTTCATTCGATTTTCAATTTCAGTTAGCCGTTCTTCATAGTTTTGCCGTTCCTCCTTTAATCGATGATCGAATTCTTCCCGCATCTTGTCCATTTCCTGGGCAATTAATGACTTTAATCTCAATTCCAAAGGATCGGGTGGTCCATGCCGAGAAGATGAATCGCTGGAGGATTGGCGGGAATGCGAGGGTCCTTCCGGACGCGACGAAAAGGGTGGAGGCGCAGGCATGGAGCGTTTCGGCATGGGAGGAGGAGAAAGCGGAGAATCATTATGGCTCTTTCGTTCAGCACTAGTCATCAGCTGATGGGCATTGTTATTCGTATTAATGGAAGCAGGTCGTGGTGGGCGGCTAATCGTCGTTTCCCCAGATGGATGCCCGCTTGGTGGAGTAGTCGATTCAGTGCGTAGCGGAGGAACAGCTGTTGAAATTCCACATGATTAGTCATCGCAACGGACAATAGTAGCCAAGCAAAGCACTCTGCCTTTCACTTACGATTTCCTTGCGCTTGTTTCGCCATGAAACTCTACATAAGCGGTGACCATGGTTAAAATTGGGAGCCATGTTTTAAAGCAGCGATGGAATGACAACGATTGCACAAAAACAAAAAAAAAGATACATACCTTGGGTACTTTAGCCATGCTTGGTCGGCTGGGGTGGTCGTTTTCAGTATGCGATTTCTCGGTAGACAATACGGAGGAGGTGGTGGCTGCCGGCGCAGGCACGGGTCGAGTGGGTCGAGCAGGTGGTAAATCGGGAAGTTCTTGTGACGGTCTCTGCTTGATGGGTGATGTAATGGGAGGTAGATCCGGAGCAAAGATTGGCACACCTCCTGTGGGCTTTTTTGGATCGGTGGAAATGGTGGAATTGAATCGTCGAGAAGGCACAGGGGGCAAAGTGGTAGGACGTGGTGGAGTGGTAATTGGCCGCGCTGCCGATGTCGATGATGCATCGGAAGAAGGCGACCCTCGACTCGTTAGCAAGGAAGTAGGGCGTGTTGTCAAGGGAACGGGAGGTGGACGAGCAAGCGAAGGCGATAAAGGTCCCTCTTTCACGGATGCGCTGGATTCCATTTTGATAGTAGGTGGTCGAGCGCGCATGGGTCGGGCAGGTGGTGATTGATTGTCAAGTACTTGTACATAATTGGAAGGAAACACTCCAGTGTGGCCAGCTTCATTTTTGCCTTGCCACCAACCGCTGTCGTCGAGCTTGTCTAATACATTGACATACTCGCCTCGCATTAACGGCAACTCATCTATATGTATGACCGAGGTTGTTAGAAAATCGGGGGTCAAAGATAATATTTCTTAAATATCAATTACCGTCGCCGGCTATTTCGTAATCATAGAGAACAATGGCTCTCATGTTCTCTGTTGAAGTCATGGGGTTGAACAAAGTGGCGAAAGTTTTCCGTCGCTTTGGGTTGAATTGCCCGCCGCTTTATCCGGGCGGAGTATCTGAAGTTTTCAATGAGCGATTGAAAAACAGCAAACGAAATGCCATGTGTTCACCGCCATCGTATCTCAACAAAGGTGGAATTGTTTTTTATTTTTTTACCAATCAGTTGATACGATGGGCAGAACAAAGATGATTTTCTCTCCAATCATACGTGTTGAGAATTGAAAATGTTCTCTTTTTTTCTTCCAGCAATTGAATGTGTGGGTCCTCGATTTGGGTCTAATTGGCATATTCTCTTTTTGCGAGTTCGAACTTTCCATCCCCAAGAGCTGTTATGTTGTGGTTGAAAAAAAAAACTTTATAATGAAACTCTGATACAATTAGTTGTAGTGTAATTTACCATAGAAATCCTAGTTAATAGGAATAATGTGCTCAAATGTCAAAGGAGCCATTTCAAAGCAACAAAGAGGGCAAGAGCGGCAGAAAGGCCGGAAGTTTAACCGAACCCAGTCACGCCATTGTGGACAGTGGGGGGGGGTCTGTGTGAACTTTTTTTGTCGGCGCATTCCCCGCTTCATTGCGGAGCTTGCGCACTTTTCCTGCCATTAGGTGTCGACTCTCGCTCTTCTACCTCCACAAGGCGTTGCAGATCAGAAGCTAATGCAATATCTAATAACTATCGCTTGTAATCCCGGACATAGATAATTCCCATAAAATAACTCGTTTCAGCATTTAGCCAAAGTATTTATCAATGATAAAGGTTTGGTTCTCTCGCTTGATGCGGCGCTGTATTGCAATCATCATGTAGCGTTGGATGACATTGATCCCTTTTCATTTCTGAAACCAAGGAGTAACAGCTATCAGAAAATATCTGGTCAATGGAGGGTTACATAAATTACTGATGCCTTGAGAACACAAACAATTCAGCAGCATATGTTGTATGGTCTGTGAACTTTGATAAAGCGGAAATAATTGTTTTCACAGTAAGAGTTTGTTGCTGATTGCAACAACACTATGAGGCTAATACTGTACTCAATGCTGCTGATAGCAACTAAAAACCAGAGAACTTTGGCTATCTGTTGAAATAATAGCTACATTAGGCTATTGCTTGTCCAGCACCGAACTGAATCAAGAAACTTGATCATTCTTAAATTTTTACTTAGCATTATGAATGGATATAAGCAGAACTCTATTGATAACCACTGAAAAGTCCCGCCCGCTAGCCTTCCCTACGAATGTCTTGATCATTCTACTGCGCATACTGGGGAAATGCAAAATTGAAATGGACAAGTGCCAGCGAGGTTTACTCGATGAAATTATGTCTAGTCCTACTGCCCGTTTGAGCTCATTGTTCTCTGCCTATAGCTATTTGGATTATAACATCTAGTAAATATCAAAGTAAAATACCCGTACTGTACGGCTTCCTCTTCCTGTTCACTTTTGCTGGATTGGAGCACAAAGTGAGCAAATACTGATCCGCCCTGATGAATGGTATCAGCGAATTTCTCGGCTGATAATTAAGTGTCGTGTAACCTGGAGAAATGACCAAATAAGCTCAGGGCTTTTTATGCATATCAATCAAAGAAGCTTTTTTTTTTTTTTTTTGATGGATCGCCAGTCGGAAAAACAATGATAATAGAAATATAAGTATTCCCAATGCACAATGTCCAACCGCAAAATTGTAATACATCTTCCATGGACTAAAAAGGCAAGTAGAAGAATGAAGGTTGCACAACACTCGTGGTTTTCATATGTTTTGATATACGATAATGGATTGTGCTATTTTTTTTTTTTTTTTCCTTTGGCTGTGTCTTTTACCTGTACTTTGAACTTTTTTTTTCTTCCACCACTCTAATCCTCTCTTTATCATCTTCTTTTTTTTCTTGTATTCGACCCTCTTCTTCTTCTTCCGTTATCATGTCTTCACGCTCTCGCACGCCCTCTCCGCGGAGTTCAGATATTTCCAACGATGTCCCGCGATTCAGCATCAACTCCAACCTGATGAATTACTCCATGCCCAAAAACGATCAAAAGGTAACAGGAATGAACTGGACATCGGCAGGCTACACGAAAAAAAAAGTTATACAAGTATTCTGACCGTATGGCGACATTTTGTTTAAAAGTTATCGGTGAACATGGACAGCCGAGCAAAACGAGAAATTCAAGAAGGCGATACTCATACTCGCGACAAGCAATTAGAAGCCCAGATTGAAGCGTTGACGCTGCAAAATGTTAAATTAATGAGGATCAACCGATTACTTAAAGTGGATACAGATAATTTGATCGACCAAAAAACGCAACCCCTCACACAGACCATTCGCGAATTAACACTTACCAACGTCAAGCTGCAACGCACCGCTCGATTACTGGAACAAGATTTGGACGAAAAGAAATCCGAACTTCGTAAATATCAAGAAGAACAAATTGCTCGCATGAAATCGGTGGGACCAGAGTACGAATATCTTGTACAAATGGTCAACCTTTTACATCGACAGGTAAAAAAAAAAAAAAGCTGAAACAATTTCCCCCCTTCTCTCCATCATCTCCCTTTTACAATATTTTTCTGGTTTAATCCGACTCTTTCTCTCTCCTCTCTCTTCTCCCCCCATCCCCCCTTTTTCTTTCTTGGATAAGTTTAAGTTTACTAAGGGATAAGACATTAGATCAACGGCCAAGCAACATGTGATGATACATGCTGCTATACAATGAAGCCTATCGACGAATCGACCGTAGTGATGACACTGCCACCGGACGATCAGGAGCAAGAAATGGAAGCACAGCATATTTGTCGTCCTGTGATTCATTCTTCCGTTTCCCAAGGATCTTACGCTGTGGAATTGGAAAATAAGATTGCGAGACTGGAACATATCATTGAGGAATTGGAGACTGAGAAAGAAGACATATTGCGTCAACATTCATACAAGGATAATGATGTGGAAATGCTGAAACAGGAACTGCTTCTGAAAGACGAAATTGTATCGCAACTGGAACAAGATTTCCTTCAGCTTGAAAACCACTTGGAAAGAATGAAATTGTCCTCCTCAGCGTCGCATCATCATCCACCTTACGCTGAGGAAGAACAACATACCCACCATCATCCGCATACCATCCGTGACCCGAAACGACAATCGCAGCTGTTGATGGAATCCAAACGACGATCGCTGGCGATCAAAGATACCGACATGTTGGAGCATATGTTACGAGGCGATCTTGTAGGAGGATTCAAAGACCATCATGAAGCACATAATGAAACCGATGATGATAGTTCGTGCTTGGACTCTGATCAGGAAACTAAACTGACGACGCCATCTCGGTCGCTGAGTCCCGAAGACCGCAAGCGAAAAGTTTATTCCTTCTTATCTCACGGCGTACTTCCATGCGCGTATCCGTCTGAAATGGGAACCGCCGTCATTTTGGAAAAAGATCCTTTGGTCCCACTGACATGCATGACCTTCTTACTCGGTGCAGCAGCTCAGTTTGGTATCACCGACGACTGGACAGTTCCCTTTACCTTGGCCGTGGTCGTATCCAGTTTTCTGTGGTCAGGCGGAGCGGCAGGCCTTCAACTCAACTTCAAAGCTTCAAAGTAAACCTTGTACCTCTTTAGTTTCCCTGTCACACCTCCCTTTTCTCTCATATTTCTACATCTCCAAAATTCCCACCACCATTGTTCATATACTATCCCCAATTAACCTTTTGTATCGCTTTATCATCTCTGCCTTGTTCCATCAACTTTTTTTTTTTTTTTCTGTACTGTTGAAACATTTTTTCTTCGCAACACCTTTCATATCCTATACCGCTTATTTTTCCTTATTAAAAAAAGAAAACCTCACGTTTGCATTCCGCTATTTGCGAAGTCTTTTTTTATTGATTACGCAAAGAGTCGTCATTTGGCAACTTGCATTCGTCAAAGAATGCACTGCATAACATGTCATCCACAAAGTTTCAGTCGCGAATTTCCAGAAGGACAATTATCACTCATGAAATCCAAGTCGACTCCGAAGTTTTATGCAAACATAAGTTTCCTAGCAACAAAACCAGATCAAGGGATCAAGGGTTTCCATCCTCACAAAATGACAGAAAAACAAAATCAAGGTGTCAATGCATGGATAATATGTAGATCAAATGATGTGCTACTGTGTGATGGACAGTAGTTCCGCATTTCTACCTAAAGTGATCTGTGTGTTGGAACCATGTTTCAAAGAAAATGCTCAGCGTATAAGAAGAATGAGTACTCGGCTTCTTATAGTATCACTAGTAGGAATGCTTTAATAAAAAATGGTCATGTAAATAAGTAAACGTAACGTAACGATACGATCATATCAAGTATGGTGATGTTGGTGCTGATGCTGATGTTGTTGGTGACACGTGTGTTTGGGAACATTGCCGCTGACAGGTTCCATGTCAGGAGGAAGAAAAGGATCCAGTTTTTTCGCCAAAAACGTTTGTTGAGCTTCCAACATGGATTTTTCCATCATTTTCCTTGTTTTCTCGTCCGCTTGCTGCAGCATCGCATTCATCATATCCTGCACTGACTCTTTTCCGGCAGACGTGGTCGGCGCCTCATGCACTGCCCCTGGTTTGTTGTAACCTTCGACCATTAGTCATCTGGTCATGATCCGCACAAACAAAAACGAATACCTTTTTTCTCGGCTCTCTCAAGTTGATGATACATGTCGCGGGTGCTCTTTGCACGAAGATCCGTCCATTCTCTGCCAACCTCTTCTTTTTCCAAATAAATGACCACTTTGGAAGCCTTGAACTATCAAAGCTAATATGAATTATTTTATACAGAGTGTACGTGCGTGTTTTTTTCCCAATACCTTGATCTTTGTTTTATTGGGGATGATCGTGCCGTATAGCTGTGCAATCTTGAAATTATAGTTGGCCCCTTCATGATCCCGCTATGAATGGGGTAAATAACTGTGCTTTCTATTTGTTACACATTAAACCAACTTACTATATCCAGTTGGATGCTCTTTGACTGTGCGTTAAGTTCATATTGATCATTCGAAATGCAGTGAGCATTCTTCACAGTTATATACAACCTACGCGTTTATTGTGAGGTTTTTGCATCATCATAATGAGGAGACTTGTCTTGCGTACGTCACAGTTTGCGAGGACTGATCCCATCCGTAACCCGAAGTGATGTAAACAGTTTGACTTTGCGCCTTTTAGGAAAAGGCACAACAGATTAATAATTAAAGTTTTTTTTTTCTTTTTTACGCCGCATGTCAACCATCAACGACTTACTTTCGACCTTTCAATAGGTTCACGGATAAAGGAAGCGGACGAAGGGTTGATATGGTTACGGAATGAATCGCTCGTCTTTTGCATAATTGTCGAGGATGTTATACCGTGCTCGGTTGGGTGAGAATGGTCCAATTTTTCTGACGGCATGCGGTAAGCGGAAGAGTGAAAAGGCTACGAAGTATTTCGGATAGGAACCGACACGAATTAAAAAAAAAGTAGGATAAGAACGCGGCGAGTGCACCGTAGATCCATCATTCGGGACCCTTTATATGTCTCAAAAAGAAGCTTCAAAAAATGGGAATTTTTTTCTTCTCATTCGCAGCTCGGACACCGATGCTTGTGCTCTTCAGTGGTTTGCGTGCTTTGGTTCACAGAAAAGGCAAGCGCTCCCTAAACTCCGTCCGTCGTAACATAACCCCTGAGCAGCAACAAACATCCGAAAAATCCAATCTTCTAACGTAGCACATGATGGCGACTGATAACCCTAGAAGATAAAGCACCCAAATATGCCCATTTTCGAGTCAGTGACTGTGGATGAGCAATTAAGGAACTTTGGAGCTGCAAATAGAAAGATATATGACGTGTGTTAAGGCAGGAGAATTGCGAAGAGGAAATAGAATGCTGCATCAATCAAATTTCATTGTTCTGTGTGAGGAGGTGACAGGTGGGTAAGGATCCAGAGAATGGGAGCATGGGAAATTATCAAAGGAGCACTTCCAACTGAAAAGAATATCATATGATTTTAAGTTGCGCATACCACGAATGCAAGCATCGTATCATATTTGCATTTATGCTAATGGCTTTGTAGTTGTTCTACGACATTAAAGAGCTCAGTCTATTACAATAATAAACAACATGAATGATAAGCAATGAGTCTGTGGAGCAAGTTTAATGAAAGCAAAGAAGAGTTTTAAATAATATAGATATCTATTTCATGAACTGTTGAGACATGGAGACGCTGATAGCTGTTTCTATCCTCAAAAGAAATCAAGATGTGCCATAGTTGAGAGGTAGGACAAACACAGAGACCCGGAAAACTTTCAAAAGACCACTGAATAATCCATATGTTCCAATTTTTTTTTGCTTACCAAAGTGAAATAACTTGCAGTCACCTTTCCGATCATTGTCCCCCCGGCGCACAGAGCGCCAAGAAAAGTAGGACGATTGAGTCTTGAAGGATCTATCATGTACAGCAGCTACAACGCAATGGCATAACAAATGGGCCGTTGGCTTTATAAGGATGGTGCGGAAATTTTTTATTTCTTTATCTCTTCGTCTTCGTTGGTTTGCGGGCTTGTCTTCTCGTTGGCACCACTCCAGTCTAGAGGTGAGACGGAATCGTCGGTTTCTTTGCGCATCTCGTCCATTTCCTTCTTTGGATCGACTGTATGGGGATCGAAAGATGCTTTTTTATCCTTCAGCTCGGGAATGGTTCCAGAGCCCGTATTTTCGCCATAGGGCCGATTGGTCTTTTCATGCTTCAGATCCTCAGTGACTGATCCAGATTCCTTCTTCTTGCGAATACCGGACAGCGAGAACAAAGTAGCGACACGAGATCTCAGAAGAGAAGGTCGCATCAATTGCGACGCAGAAAGATTAAGCAAACGCATTGCGGAGAAATTATTCTTCAGCAAAGGAAAGAAGGAGCATAGAATATATTCACTTGTTTAATTTCATCGAGATCAGACTCGGAAAGATAATGCTCACAACCGCCGGTAGCCCTTTGCGTCATTGGGCCTAGGCTGTTGTTAAAAAGGAAATCAACAATTATATCTCTTAGAAACTGTTACCTTGTCGAAAACGACAAACCAAAAGATGTAAAAGAACAGTCGCAAGCACATATAAACCATGTCCTCTTGATAATATGGCATTTGAAATATGTAGCCTGTATGCAATTGTTTATTTTTCATATAAATTTTGGTCGCCCTTACGATATTGCCAGCGAGCAACAGGTTATGAAAGAAGCCTGCGCATTATCCAAGTTGAGAAATTGCTCATGATCAACAACAGTATCGAGCTCCTATCTCAAACTATACTGTGTCACCGGTGTACGGGATGGATATGATTTTCTATTTTGCATACGATTGATGGCTGACCTTTTTAAAAATGGGTGCAAGGTCTTCGTCAATAAGGTGCTCACACAAGCAAGAGCAATACAGGTTGCTGCTTGGACATCACCGTCGCGTCTCGCATGACCCTTGATCCAACTGTCGACTGACGGACCAAAGCAATACAGTACACAGTTGCCGCTCTTTTTCTGCGATTCCTGATAATGTAGGCTGCGAAGCCAGGTAATCAGCCGCTTATTATATGACAGGGAAAAAATCTAGAGTTTCTGGGATCAATTTGTTGAAATTTGGAATACTGTCATGGTTTACAGCCAGTTGCAAGTTATGAGGGCGTATTTACCGTGATCATTGACTGCAGTCGCGTTTACCACCTTGTTGGTCCTGTAAATCTCAATGGTGATCTAGCGGGTCCCATCACCACAAATTGCAGCACGATCTGTGCATTTGGTCTCCAGGCTGAGAAGCACCACCGCCGTGTTGGAAAGTCCCTTTGTTGGCAAGAACTCCCCCTTTTTTTCACGGTTTAGCAAAGCCCACCTTAAGAAAAATAAATAGCTATACAGTAGTAGCTTCCGTGATCCGATGCTACCAACGCACTTCCTCATTACACGTCGCGTTTGCGGGTCTACGATTCTGACGATTTTAACGAAGAGAGCGGCTTCCCTCAGTTGGAATGAACAAACGATAGCCCATTTTGACTTTAGCTGAGCCAAGTGAATCCGAGGACGGCATAGTTCACAATGCGCTGCGCCAGGCAAATCATACGAATAAGGATGACGGTTTTGGAGTTATTAAACGTTCTAATGAATAGACGAATCATGGTACAAATAAAAAAAAGAGGTCTATCCTGTTGTATCTCTTCTAAGCAAAGTGCTTTTCTTTTTATATGAAGTGGCGTAGTTCGTCCACAGGACATTAAGCTCACTTTTTATTTTATCATTATTCAACCCACAAAGGGTTGAGAAAAGAATAATAAAGGCAAAAACCTTTTTTATTTTTCATTTGCCTTTGTTGCGATTAAAAAGCAAACCCACCGACATACCTTCCACAATGACCGCGCTGATGACTAGTCAGGCGCCCAAAGGGAAGAGCCGATGGGAACGAAAACAATCTTCTTCAGAGGATGGCCAATCCTATCATTAGAAGATGGTTTTCGGATTTTTCGCCATACCCCGAATGCTTTACCAAGAACCGGAGCGTTCATCATTACCAGTAACCACCAGCCTAGCAGCCCCTGATTCCGAACTGGCGCACAAAAGAAAAAAAGAGATGAGAAGAAACGCCTTCTTTTTATATCTTTTGCGGACCTTCGATTGGTGACCCTGTTTTATGATCGCGAATGCACCTCATTGGCTCGATTCCCGCAACAAAACTCGCGAAATTCAGCGCCTCACTCTTCTTTCGCGTAAGGAATGCAAAGAGGAGCTGCGCCATGTCACTCATGCCGCCATGAGCAACCCATGTGCACTACAGTCACTCTATAACGTGAACAATAACTTATGGGTGAACGCTGGTGCGACATGCTTCAGACTTTGCGTACTTTCTTTGATCGTGTTCATGCTAGAAAGCTTCCCTACCTTTGCCCTGCCCCTTTGTATCAGCTTTGTTTCGCCTGAAACCAGTGTATTCAATATTGCTTTGACAATAAACGCTCCCGTATTATTCCACGAAACCAGGGTGTCAGGTCTCTGTGCGCCATGTTGCAATCGCGACAGAACCTAGAATCAGCCATGACCAAGGCCCATGCGAATGCATGTAACATGCCGGAAAAAGAAATATTCTGAACAAGCTCGAAGGTGCTTTTATGAATATGTAAACGACTCAAAATACGCGTCAGCGCAGTAACAGCACCTATAGTTTGGCTCCATTTGCGGTGTGCTATGTTTTCGCATAATTTGATTGACCTGCAGGACCGGTGTTATCTCCTCTTGAAAATCGAGTTCTCCTCCGCTTCCCTTCTACAATAACAGTTTGGGCCGTTTGTACGTTTGATTCTGATAAATTGTAGCAAAGCAATAAATGCGTTTCTCAATTTTGGAGTAATCTAATTTAAAACATCTCTTTTTATGCCTTTTTTTTCTTTGAAAAGAAAGAGCGCGTAAGCACAAGCCAAAAAAAAAAAAAGCACTACGGAACCAAATAAAGATAAAACAAAAATAAACAGGGAGGCGCAAACGTTAGTCAATGTCCTCTGGTTCTCTGAACTTATGGAATAGAGATAAGGTGAACCAAGCAGCGACTTGCCGGGCAAAAGGAACAAACATGAAGACCCACAAGGCCGGCATATGGCCAGTAAAGTGCAGTGGATAGTGATGACATATTTTTAGCAGCAGATGCCAGCCGATGGTGGTGATAAAAGCGGTCAGGCGGCATGTTGGAAAATCAAGCAAGGAGCGGCTATGCACAGATAGCAGGCTGTTGATGTCGTGCAAAGCTTGAATATTGCAGCGCTGCATATCTGGCTACACCTCATTAAATCGGTAACGATGCTGGTAATTGTCGCAAAGATAATCGCCATATGTTCGCCATAACGCTCCCGGATTTCAGGATTTGCAAACATGAGAAGGGTGACGAACAATCGCCGAAGATGAGAAGCGGATGTCACAACTGCTATTGCCTCAGCGAGACAATGATCATGCTCTTCATCGCTCTCGAGCAGCAGGCGAGCGGCAGAAGCTTCCTGGAAAGTGTTGTATCGACGGCCATCGTGCCAGTACAAATCCTCAAAGCTTTGTGGCCCTGGTACATTATGCAACAACACACGCAGAGAGAAACGCTCCATGTCGGCAGGAGAAACAAAAACAACTCGCCCAACAGCAGCAGCAGAATATGTCCGAGCTTCTCAGGCATTGAACGTATCTTGCGGGCAGTCGGATCCTCACTGGTTTAGAAGATTAAAAATGAGGCGAAAACTATTTAAAGTATGTATAAAATTATGACTTACCGATTCAAAAGAGAAAATACATCCAATGTCGTAGGATTTCTTTGAGCGCGTTCGACAATGTCCTGTACAGACTAGTCGGTACGGAAGTATACGTGCTGATGCTGTGGCAAGTGAAGAGCGAGGTACTGGACAGAGGGCGAGCGAGAATGCAGGGAAAATCCAAACATCCGCCAAAAAGATTCTGATGCTGAGACGTAACGTGCATCTTGTACCGTGCGATTTCGTCAATAGCTTCATCGGTGTTCGCCTGCTGATTACGCCGCAGGGACATCAAAGCACGATCTTGACCTTTATAGATACCACTTCCAACCAAGAGTTGGAAACCATCCTCGTTCGCCATGTGGAAATATCAACACATAATGGAGCGGATTACATAGTGGATGTTGTTCGTTGATATGCATTAAATCTTCACCACGCGATAGGATCGCAAGATGACAATACATGGAAACGAATTGGTGATTCAGAACCATAACTGCAAATTTAGGAGTGGTCGGTCGAAAGCGCTGTCCACGAATGTGGCACGCGTTGACGTGGGATAACTGATAAAAATCTTCTGCGGAGTCGCCCTGAAATTCGAGCTCCTGTCTGCTCACAGGTCTGAACCAAAGAAGAGGTTGCCATGCAATTTTTGTCGATGTTCGACGTCATAAATGCAAACCCAGGCTGCAGGGACGTGCAATGCAATGACTAATATCCTACTCTGTGGACCCAAAAAGTGCACATTCGCAATTAATCATTTAGCTTTCATAGTCGGTGTTTCGGTAAAAAAGAATTCTTGACGAATAAGTAAACACACTTTTCACATCAACGCCCACGAAAGTAACCGCAAAAGCAGAATGATAAAGCCGTATATATTTTCGGAACACTTCAGAGCCACGGTTTGGTTTGTTGAGAGGGAGAAAGCTACATTAAAAAGAAGCGGCGGCGGCATGAGAAGGATAACCTTTGTTGCAAGAAAAAGCTTGAATTTTTTGTTATAGTATTTTCTCTCGTTTTTATTGCGCTTCGTTTGTTGATTTAGGTAAAGGCAATTTCATTGCTTGATACGAACGGCAACAGGGGCAGTGTGAGTCTTGTTGAATATTCAATTCTACGGAATGAACCATTCAGTGTGCCCCAGCATAGAAGAAAAAATTACCACTGCCTTGGAATCAAAACTTCCGTGGCTAAGCATGTGAATTCAAGTGCCTAGTCATGACCCTGCACTTGTTACCGCACCATATGATACGTTTCGATGACAAAGAAAACCAAATAATGTAATCGACCCGAATACATCCTGGAATCAAAGCGTCATAAGACAATCATTTGCATAACAAAAACATAACATTTTTTTATTTTTGTTTTGCCAGATAACTAGACTGCAATTTTTCGTTGATCTTGTGACCCAAAACGAAATGAAAGCTGCGAAACAGCATCTCTGCTTTGGCGGATCCAACGTTTTCGTACTTTCTATGAAACAACCCGCTCAACAACGTTTGGCTGTTAAAATGTTAATTATACCGCATCTCAAACAGCCATGACAATAATACAGGCATTTCATGCAACCGACATGACAAACTTGAAATGAGAAAAAGATCATGATGATCTGTATGTTTTCAGTATGTGGTTATTTGATATTTATTGCATTAGTTGGCTTGAGTTTAAGAACCAAGGCAACCTGGGACGGATGGCAATAGGAAATAACAACGCATGGTTGTCCACGTTCTAAGAATAAGTTTAACCAATAATAATCCAAATAATAAACATATACAAGAAATACAGATGGGGTATACAAGTAAAGGAATATGTACAGAGAATGGAAAAAGGAAATCAAAATCAAAATTGACATCCAATGATGTTCATCAACAAGCTTCTTCGGATTCTTCCCAAATTGTTTCCATGGGCAGCAGATGGCCAGAAGGTCGTTTTCCAGGTTGTAGTAGAATATGTTGCTGCTTTCGGGGAAGGTGCAGAGGTGAAAGGAGGCCAATGGTTCCGGAATGCCAATGGACGTCGAACCACCCAACTTGGGTATGCAGTAGCGATTGAATAGGTGGAGAAGCAGACCAAAAAAGATGCTCCGCCGGATACAGCTCAGTCGTGAAGCATTGTTCTACGTCGGCAGATGATCTCATAGTTGAAAAAAAGTACGGTAGTTCGATAGATGAATACACGTAAAAAGGGTTGGACCGTTAAGGATGGTGTATTTATATTTCTAATAACCTGGTCTCATGACCTCGGGTTCTGACAAATGAACCGATGATTCACTGCCTACCAAGCACTAGATCATGCTACCAAGTAGTGGAATATGCGCCGTATCCACGTCGCTACAATAAGTTAACCTGTGTGGGTGCCATGTGACTCCGTGCGTCAAAAAAGTGGGTCCGTCCGAATCATCAATTTGCCATTTTTGAACCAATCCACTAGCTGGAATCATCAGGTACGCCTACTCATCGCAACACCGATTCGCTTTCTGGATTGTGATGATGCACTCATGTTAGTCAGAAGTTTGACTGGTAAGTTCGATAGTTACCATGAGGCACGAACCACTGACACAATTATGAGTATCCCCGGAACCTATTGTCAAGGGAAAAGGCGCAATGAAACAACATGGAAGGTTTCCATACCCTTTTTTTTATTGTTGAAATTGTGTTCAACTCGGGCCAATGTCAAGTTTTGTCATCGATGACCGAAATACATCGTCATTAGTATACTTGCCTTTTTGGCAAAGAATATTCTTGGTCGGTTTTTATATAACAGTTTTTTTTTTTTTTTTTTTTTTTTTTGATAACGAGCGCAATGCACTGAAAAGCATGACCCTTGTGACCAAAAAGAAAGAACTCCTGCCATCCATTGCATCACAGAAATACCAAGAAAAAACCTATCAATAGCGTCTAGAAAGGTGTGCACTTTATTACGAAAACAATGCGAATTTGATTTAATTTGAAAGATCAGAATAAAAGATGTTACAAGTCGGCAAAAAGAAAGGAATGATGTAATATGATGGTCTCATTTCTTTTTAGGTTGCCGATGGTACCTAGACGTCATAAAGGTCCAACGAGTGCTAGCACATGATCAAACTTAAAAAGCTTAAGTGCTTTAGGCGGAAAATGAGGACATGCAATACGATTCTATTCCACGTTGATGCAAAGTGTCTTACCAAAATCTACAAGCCATTACTGAATCACCATTGCGAGCGACACTTAAAGAATGGAGACATACAAGTACGCACGGTTATGGCCCGCGTCAAGAAACAGTAAGCTCATGTGATGTACCTTTACATACAGTGACCAGTTTACAAAGTAGACACTGTAATTATGGTCTGTCAATCACGACGATAGATGGCGCGACATGGTGGGACTCCTGCAATGATTTACCTGGCATAGGCAGTATGAATCTGATGTTTTATAGGATCGATGGAGCCGTGGATGATGAATGGAAGGAGAAGATAAGGTGGAAATTCTTGCTATCAATATTGCCAGTCGATCGATGCGACATACAGGTTATCCTAGCGCTTGTACCTTGAGAGATAGTATCTGTAAAGCCATGAAAAATTACTGTGGACCATTGAACATTCAAACTTCACCAGGAATATTCGGAACCTTCGGCCCTTGGCCGAAAAAGGAAACGTATGCACTGAAGCTGTCATGTCACTGCAACAATCACATGAAAATTGCAAATTAGCTTTTTACTAAAGGATTTTATACCAGGTCGGGTCGTTTTATCATGGGCAAAGAATTATCTATCACGCTGTGTATATCATACTTTTGCCAAGGGATAGCTCTTTTTTACTTTGATACCAGGACAAGGCACGATAACTGCAGCGTATTTGGCATCAGGGAGGCACTTGTCTGATACTCGCAGCAGCCATGCTTCGCTAAGAAATATCATGCCACAAAGCAAGACGATAGTGTATTTTTTTTCAATGGCTGCATGGGTGTCGTACTATTATGGGAATTCAATGATTACGAGCAGGTCGATGGTGAGGCATCCTATTTGATATTCTCGCAGCAGCCCGCGATGGACTTGACGGGCGCTTTTTGGGGGGCTGAAATCCATTCATGGCAGATCGACTGAATTGATCTGGCAATAGTTGGTTTATCGCATTGAATGACTTTTGCTGGCTGTCACTAGTGGATGAGTAGCTTTTGGGTGGAGTATGAAGCGGGAATGATGAAGATCTTTGATAGCACGTGAAGATGGCATGCTTGATCGATATCTGTTTCACATGCAAATCATGAATCCTTGAGCTATGGCCCTTTCATTTTTTTACCTTTTTTTTCTTCCATCGTCCATCACCTGTTACTGTGTCAAGAAACGTTCCTAATAAAATTATTCAACTTTGTTTTTCTACATTTTTCTTCGCACTGCCAATTCACTCACTTTATCATCCATCTTCAACAGTTTCTTCTTTTGTTGTAGTATGGCCAAGTCTTCGCCCATGTCCATTTCGCAATTATGCAATGCCATGACGGGCGATTCAAGCACCGAGAATCACGACACCATCAACTTTGCCGAGCCGGAGGCTTTGAGTGAAGTCGCGTTAAGCGATATGAAAGTGGTCGATGAAGGTAACTTATCATACAGCGGGTTCCTGTTCCCCGCTGTAGACGAATCGGATGATTTTTTCTTTTTTCTATCTGTGCTCTGATAAAAGAGGCGATTTTTTTTTTCAAGATCACGCACTATCGCTATCGTTAACATTGCCCCCACTTACCACTTATCACTCGTCATCCTCCAGTACTGTTCCATCTCCTTTACCGACGCCCACCTATTCTTCGCAATCCCTCCAAAACTATAAGCGCCAACGATCGTCCTTATCCAGCGATTCAACCATCGAGGACGATGATCCACATCAAATACAAATACATATACAAGGACACGCTGACCGCCTTCGCAACGTGTTATCGCCGATCAGTGAATTGCGTCTATCTGAGCGCATAGATACGGTTGAAGATGCCCCAGTCTTTGGATCAAAGATGACAGAGGTATCCTCTAGACTTGCCGTAAGCGATAAATGCCAGTCATTGATCTCGCCGAAAACTGTGTGGGGTAAATACTCTTATGGCGAAGTAAGATGACTCAATGCTTCTAAAAGAAGACTAGTGAATTCTGACGCCATGAAATGCGGTAGACACCTTGTGAAGTAAACCATGTGAATATCAACGACGAAGATGATGGTACCCTGTCGGCCACCACAGCCCTGGCTCGCACCAACCTCCATGATACTGCCGTTGACCTTGAGACTAATCCTCGACGCAGATATTATCGGTCGACAGAAGATGCTGCATCTTGTAAGCATTTCATTTTGTGCATCGATACCGACACCATTTACCAACATCCTTTTTTTTTTTTTTGGTATTTGTCTAGCCCATTCTTCGCGGTCAAAGTATTCATCACGGTGCAATTCTCCACAATCTCGTTTTTCCACAACGGCGGCACCTGCCAAGCATGTCGCGAGTCCTCATCCACAAAAATACGCAAGCAGTCGCTGGCAACAGATTGTACTGCATGCCAGTTCAGCCGCCGGAACTACCGCCGCCGTTGTCAGCGAAGAAAGTATGAAATGTCTTCGTTACTGTATTAGTTGGTTACAGGTAACTTGTTGGAATTAACCACACGATGCTCTCACAACCTTTTTTTGATGCTCATTTTCTTTTTCCAACTTTGCCCAGTATGCGCGTCGTCATATTGACGAACAAATGGATATTTTACGAAATCTGCTGGTATCTTTAGCGACGCAATCATCAAATAGTGACAAGACGTTGAGCACGCCCGATTCAGCCATGACCACGCTCATGGCGGTCAAGAAGGAGATTATTGATACGTTGCGCAAAGTAATCGATGTGGTGAAAAAATATGCAGGAGTGGGATTACCCGAACAAGCAAAAACAACCGTGCGTACCTTCATTCTAGCGTTGCCAAATCGAATGGCGAATCTCAATTCGCGCACTGTCTCCCCGATGCAATCACCAGCTTTGCAACCCCATACCTCCGTTTCCCCATTGCAAGAAACGTCCATTAAACTGCTCAATCTAGGCGGAGAATCGATCGAAATGCTGGAATCCATTGCCGCCGTATTCTCGGACACGATTGAACGTGCCGAATATTGGTTGCACTGCCTTCGTGGTGTGGTGATTCCCGCACGTGAACGAGTGAACCCCACTCCAATGGAGCTAGAATAAGTAGCAGTAGCTTGTGACTCCAAAAAAAAAAAGAACAAAGCCTCTTGCCTGATATCGCTTCTTTTCCCTGCATCTCACTACCCAGTCTCACCCCATCACACAAACCACTGCGACAACTACGACTACTCAAGCAAAAACAAAACAAAAAGCAATCATCGAATAAAAAAGGAAAGAAAACCAATGTCTCGTTACACTTTCTAATATGTTGAGCCTTATCTTGACGAACAAGTGGTGAATAAACATGTCACATGAAGAGCACCGTTAGAGCAAATCAATCAGTGATATCCAACAGACAGATTCTCATAAACAAGACATGCAAATACATTGTGTAAAACACATTTTTTTTTATTTTCCATCTTAAAAAAGAATAAATGATATACGGATAAGAAGGAAACTGACCTATCATGAAAGCATTCATTAGATGATTTGTTCAAGAATCGTTTAAAGTAGTATTTCACGATCCAAATGATGTATCATAACTGTTTCAGCCCCGAAAGATGGTTAACGTTTGGCAGCATTGCTCGTAAGCTAGCCAGACAGTGGGTTGCCCCAAATCATCATATGCATAGGTATGATACAAAATGAATCATGAATAAAAAATAAAATAGATGTAATACTTGCCTTTTGAAAGTTGCCGATAAGAAAGAAACGCAATTTCAAGCGCGAATTCCACTCCTATTTAAGCTTTTTCTTTTTCCAACCACCGTAGGAAGATGAAAAAAATTTTCGCGCTGAATTTACACAGTCACCGGAAACCTTGGTTCATTCACCGCTCATCCTTCTGGTCGAACATGATTCTCAAATAACGTATCGAACTAAGAAAACAATTGAAATTCCTAAAGGCCTCTGTCATATTTGATATATCAGTGTATATAAGTATAAAATTTGCCAAGACATATAGACCGATTATCAGATAGAGCGATCAGAAGCAAAGAGGAAAAAGTCTGTTGTCCGATTTTTGACACGGGCATCAACAGTTCATTCGAGTCTACGGTTATACGGTAATGCAGGTCATTTATATAATATATAACACAATGACTTCTATGAGACAACTCTCTATTGCTTATCTGTATGATTTCTATGAATACAATTTAGTTGTTCAGGACGACCCTCGTCTCTTCCTTTTTTTGTTCCTCCTCTCTTTTACTCTTTGATATGAACAAAGGCGTCGTTTATTCAGGACGCAATCGGAGTCCACGTCGCAATTCATCCGTGAGTGGCTCATCCTTTTCACAACGAGCGCAGTTGCATTTGAACATGTAAGTCTTGTCGAGGTAGTTGATACGCGTCTCCTTATTCCAGCGGGGATTGACGTAGGTTTCAAACAATTGCTCGCCTTGTTTGATGTCTCGAATCGCTCTGACAGCGAGTTTATACTGGGTAGCGTGGAATGGATGCTCGATACACACATTGGGCGCACAGTTGTGATTGATATGCGATTGAACAAGGTACATGCCGCCGTTTTGGTTGTTGATGTTGAATTTGCCGAGGTAATTCAAAAAGGTATTTTCATCGTCAAATAATTTAGTGGCCACGTCCTCGGGAAGAGGTTGGGTAATCTTGCATTTTTTAGGAGGAGATCGGTACGCTTTGCTAAGCATTTGTCGTGCTTTAGCCCAGAGCTCTCGCGTGGGATGTTCCTGTTAACGCAACAAATAATACATTTTGCATGAGACACTCGAAAGGGACGAGGATGACCATCAGCAATTTACCATGAAAATCCATTCGGTTTCCTTGGCTTGACGTTCCGCTTGATTAACTGTTGCGAATGCATCATAGTGAGCCATGACAGCTTGCATATCGCCCCGTTGATGGGCCAAGATGATGTGAGCGTACATGCGTGATACGGCCATAGGACCGGACCACGATTCGGCTTGACAGAAGTTCATGAGATCGAGAATAGCGGGATTCAAGTTGGCGCACTCCAGTTGATGGAAAGTCTCCCAGGCAGTTGCTTTACACGTTTTGCTGCAGTAGTTCATATCGCAGTGAGAGCAACGTGCCATGAGTCGATGAACGCGAGCAAATGGTTTAGCACACAGGCCACAAGCGTCTCCTGTACGGGCCAAAGAAAAGCCTTCCCACGGCGGGAAGTAGACAAAGGGCGTCTCGGTAAAGATCGTTTCGTCCTTGGCAATATCTCTCGCTGCCACCAGACCTTTACCAGTGACTTTGTCGATCATTTTAGCCTATTCAACGATGCACCAAATGAGGTCACGGACAACCAGCCATTACAGAAAGGACCCATTGCCACTTACCACAACTTTATCGGAAACGGACTTGATATCGAGCTTGGGATCGATAAATGATACCGGTACGGAAGGATCGTCTTCGACACCGCTTTTCACCGGTTCAGCCGTTTGGACCAAACCGTGAGTTTGCATCATTTTCTTGACTCGTTTCTCGGACACCTGCCAAGTGGGCTGGTCTTCGGTTAATTTGACCGCTACTCGCTTGATGCCCAAGTCAGGATTGTCCAACTTGATTTGAGTAATGGCTTTCACAAGTTCTTCTTCGGTAGGCGTGATTTTTTCGGACATGGTGCGTGTGTGTGTGTGTGGCTTCTCCGAAAGAAAAGAAAATCCCTCTAAACTGGGTCCATCGCACGGAATATCCAAAAAAGTGATCCATCCAATCGCTTGCCCCAGCCAAGCCACCATTTCCTGCAACCTGGCATTGTCAAGAAAATCACTTCTTCCAAAAACAATACACTGATCTAGTGTTGTCAATGACCTGATAGTGGTATCATCACCAATCCTGCCACGCTACATTTTCCAAACTTATTCGTAGGACAAATGATTAGCATCCAGAGACTTTTTCTTGGAAAAATTGGAGTTTGAGTCTAGCCAATTATTGTCACATTTTTGACCTTTTTATTTTCTCTTAATCGTCTTTTGAAGGTTTGTTAGACTATTTTATAAAATAAAGTAAACAAATCAAAAGCAAAGGTTACTCACCAAGTGATAAACATATTTCTTAAGCCACAGCCCATAAGTATGTTGATCCTTCAAGGTCCTATTTTGTGCCTTTTTTCCTGCTGTTACACATCCGATAGCGATCGCTTGAACGATAATGAACGTACCAGCACATCAGTCATTATTGTCATCAATCATGGAACTCAATAACGCCACTTTGTTTGAAGAATAAAAGTCGTGAAGAAAAAGAAGTTCCAGTAATGAAGCGCCAAAGATTAAGTATGACAGTAATTGGAACTCGTCAGACAAGCCTACAAATCAATAAAGGGTGAAAATGCTGTCAAGATGTTCTCGATCCTGATAAATGTTGTTATATCGATTCAGACCGAGCAAAGAAAGCCTTCCTTTTATGTCCAGGCATTCCGAGCTCTGATCATAATAACGACAACGGTCGGAAACATTATTGCATACAGCATTTTTGCACATTCTTATTTTAAATAACAACTGTTGTGCCAATGTTGCAAGTAAATAGACGTTCGTTGGTGCTTTCATTATTTTTCTTTCTTTTATTCGCTTGACGACCCACCATGTATTTGACACGTTCTTTGACGAGTGTCATCATTGCTCTGTTAGCTTCACAATTGGCATGTGCCGATGACGATACAAGTCCATTGCAATACCCTCCTTTGCCACCTTTGAACGGTCCTTACGTTGCACCTAAAGATCCGAAGTATGATTATGCCGAAGTGTTGCACAAGAGCTATCTGTTTTACCATGCACAAAAATCTGGCATATTGCCATATCAGCGAATGGCCTGGCGCGGCGATTCCTGCAAGGTGTGCGTGGGCGAGTTTGGTGAAGATCTTTCACGAGCATGGTATGAAGCCGCCAACACCATGAAATGGGGTTTACCTCTGGGATGGACCGCCACCCAGCTGGCATTCAACGTCATGGTCTTTGAAGATGCCATGAATTCCGTCGATGAGTTAGCTGAAGGGTTGGAGTTTTTGAAATGGGGAGCAGGCAAGCCAATATTTCCGAAACTCAATTTTCTCAACCAATTCCTCCTCCCACTGACGCCAAGAATTATTAGATTATCTTATTAACGCACATTACAATGATACTTATATCATGGGTCAGCTGGGAACTTCGGCGTTAGGACCTATTTCCAAGCAAATCGAATTGGACGTCGATTTTAATTATTGGGGTCCACCTGAAGAATACGAACAATGGGTCCCTACAGGGCTACCGCATCGTGCACACTACATTACTCCCGATAATCCATCCTCGGAAATTGTAGGCGAATACAGTGCTGCCATGGCCGCCATTTCTATTCCCTGGCGCAAGCATAACGAGACTTTTGCTAATGAGCTCGTGGATCGTGCGAAGCGCTTGTTCAAATTTGCCGTCGATCACCAAGGCAGCTACGTGACCTCCAAAGACAATGCGTATCAATGGGCTACCTTTTGGTATCCTTCGACGCGATACGAAGATGAACTTGCTTGGAGTGCAGCATGGATCTATGCCGCAACGAGGGAACCGGAATGGTTGGAAACTGCCAAGAAATGGTACAACATTGCCTCGGATTCCTGGAATGAATACTCGTGGGATGAAAAGGGTGGAGGATTGCATGTGTTGTTGTATACCGTCACCAAGGAACAAATGTTTTACAAGAATGCCATGGATTATTTCAACCAATTCTTACCCAGTCCAAAGCAAATCGTGAAATTCACTCCTCGCGGTTTGGCTTACATTGAGCATTGGGGTTCCGTGGGTTACTCGGGCAACGTGGCTTTCCTTATGATGGCCATGGCCAAGGCCGTCGGCTATGAAACCGCCGAATCCAAAGCCATGACCACCTTTGCCATTCAGCAAATCAATTACGCTCTCGGTGACTACGGCTACAGCTGGGTAGTTGGGTAAGTTTGTTAATGTTTTTTTCGCACATGAGAGCGACCTTGCAGAAACGCAACAATGTGGCACTTGCCCGTAACTAAAAAAAAAAAAAAAAAAATATCTAGATTTGGTGATAATTATCCGAGCAAACCATATCATAAAGCATCCTACAATTCGTACATTGACTATCCGATGCGTGGAAAATTCCAGGATAAAGTCGAAGAAGACTTTACGGAAAGTAAAACCGGCCAGCGATTCATTCTCTATGGTGCCGTCGAGGGAGGCCCCAACGTCGACGACAGCTGGCACGACGACCGATCCAACTACGAATACTCGGAAGTAACCCAAGATTACAATGCGGCCTGGACTGGCGCCATTGCCGGTTTAATCGATTACTATGGTTCCGAGAAATTTGAACCTTACTCGGACTGTGGTCTGGATCTTGGTTGGAACCATCCCAACGCGTCCACTCCGCCCATGTGGCCCGAAGATGATTGTTACCATACCTGCAATAAAGGATGTCCTCGTGGTCAGCTCAAGTCGTCCTTCTCGTGGAAATTACTGATGGAACCTCAGAATTCCGACAAACTACTGGAGGTGCTTTATCCCGGTCAAGGATTCACCCGAGCCGCTGCCGTCGAAGGCCGACCTGGAGATGATCCAAGCGCCTTTGTAGCATCGAGAGCCAGCAGTATTCACAGTCAGTCGGTCGACCACTCAGATACAAAGTCCAACGATAACATCCATGCGCAGCAACAAGAGTCGTCGACCAACCAGAAGCAATCTGACAAGCCATCCGACAAGCATGGGTCAACAGAACACGTCGAGCAGACGTCGGCTGCACCACGCATTGTCTCGTCTCTGATTGCAGTCTCTGTTTTAGCCATTATTACTCTTCTTGTATAGATTAATGCACATATCGTGACACGTTTATAAACAACAAAAATCATTACTTGACAGTTTTTTTTTTACTTGATCAGTTTTTATCTCCACTGATTTTAGCATTTTGCTTTTCTTTTTTTTTCTTTTATACAAAAATTGTTTAAGATCGTTTGCCCTTCTTCTTCTTTGTCTTTTTGGTGACAATAATGTGGTCGGCCCATTCATTCGATTCTTGTTGGAGGATCTCTGCGGCGCTGGGCACGGCGGGCGTTCCCCAGACTGTTTTGGGGTTACTGGAGGACTCTTTGCCAACCGGATCGGACGATGGAAGTAGCGCATTGTCGGCCATCGCTGCTGCGGCTGATTCCTCCAATGCACGATTCATCATGGCTTCATTTTCCTCGGCCGACATGGGACGATAGGCAGCAAAAAAAGGATCGTTGCGAATCTGTTCTTCGTCATATCGAGGGACAGATTGTGTCTGCTTTCGTTGCTTAGCCTCGGCTGCACGTCGTATCTTTTCTTCGCGTTTGACACGATCTTGTCGCTTTTTCGCTCGCATTTTCAGTTCATCTAATTCATCCAAAACAAAACTTCGTATTGAGTCATCCCGATTTCGAAATAATGAATGCATAAGGTATGGATACCGACGACTGAAAGCTTTGAGTGTCTTTTCAGACACAATGTCCTTCATTTCTGCTTCAAGGAACGTTACATCGCAAGCTAAAGGTAAATGGCTCAAATACTTGAATCGCTTTCGAAGATCCTATGAAAAAAAAAAAAGAAGGGAGCTGCTCAGCACCAGAAATCGCATAATTGAACTAGTTATTATGAATTTACCTCGGTCACTGTGGTTTCTTCGACACCGGTCACGGTGATATTTAACTGTCGAGGAAAAGATGGATAATCGGTGTATTCGTACTTTAGAATGCGAATATCCAATGGATGCAAATACAGGTGTTGTCCATCGACGGCTTGGAAAAAGTAAAAATCGTGCAGTGCCGTTTCATCCAATCGTTTCGCGTCTGCGGGTTTCTTTGGGGTGGATGTCTTTGTTTCCTGACGAACGCTGCTGCTTTCATTGTTCACTTTGTCTTGATCCAAGCGTAGATGCAATTGTCGGTACGCTTCTGGAATTTCGACATCGTCTGCGGGTTGCGAAATGATTTCCTTCTTAGAGGCCACCAGAGTTCGGTTCTTTCCAGCAACGGATCGATCGGTTACATCATGGAAAATGTTTCTGGATGTTTGCATGGCCAACTCCATTTCTTTGGATCGTTGTTCATTGGTATCTTTCAGTTTAGAGTCCACTTGCTCGATGGAACGCTCAATATACGGCATTTCCTCCGTTGATCCCCAGCTGGTTGCATCGTTTGCAGCATCCAAGAGTTCTCGTCGATCTCGCTTATATTCTGTTTCGATGTAATCCGGGCTCGTCAGCATGAACTTGGCGAATTGCATGGCATTGGGTGTGAAATGCCAGGGATTCAGCGCAGCGTTGGCATCCAAATACTGACGAAGGATGTCTGCAGGTACAGGCCAGGTGTCGGAGATGGGAAATGCAAGAGTTGAATGCGCAGCACGTTGAATAAGGCACATCTCGACATGGTCGCCTTCGGATACGCTTCCAGTGAAAGAATTTCCTTGAGGGTTAGCAACAGCGTAAGGGTGTTGAATTCGCACACTTTTCAGATCACGTTCGTAAATGGCGTCCCAGCAGATCGGGCATTTTCGCCATAACTTTCTGGGATTCTCACGCAGTTCCAAATAATGCAGGATACAGGGAAGGCAAAAGATGTGACCGCATTTGGTCACCCTTGCTGCGGTGGGAGGCGATAAACAGATCGGACACGAAGGTGTTTCAGCGGCTGAAATGAGCTGTGGAAAGAAATATACAAGTATGAGCCATTGTGACAATGGTATCCAATGTCCCTTAAAAAAGAAAAGACACTTGCCACTTGTTCAATCTTATCCCAGTCAAAATTTGCGTCTGGATCGGCCATATTCACGGTATAATCGCCACAGGCGTTGACCAGGAAACGAAAGCTACAGGGTATACGGGTTATTTCATGCCAAGGAGGGCCAACAATGATAGCGAGCTTACTTTGCATTGACAAATCTTTCCTTGTTATAGGGTTGATAGGACGTCGACCGGACTTTCCGCGGTGTATAAGAGTGTTGAGGAGCTTGTCGCTGAGGGAAGGAAAAGTTGAGCAAATGATTGAGAGAAACGCGTCCCTTTTTATCCGTTGCTCCTCCGGTTTGTTGCGCGATCTAGCAAAATTCCGGTCAATTCCATCATGCAGTTCGTTGTGTTTCCAAAGACAGCCTTGTCAATCTTACCTCGACGAGATTCATCTGCTGAAAACCGTTGGCAATTGTTGATGTCTGTTCACGTTGGTGTGCGCTGGAACGGGTGCGAGGATTATTATTTTCTCGGAGGGGGGCATCTTCTCGTTTCTTACTGCGATCTTTTGGCGCGCGTTTTTCCGGGGGAGGTTTACTTGCTCCCTGCCGCGGCTGTGATCTTTGACGATGAGACCGATTGGATGTTGGTGGTGTTTTAGCAGGGTCGGAAGTGTTTGCTGAAGATGTGCCAGCGAATGAAGGAATAAAAGCGGGTGCATCGGCGTTCATCGTGAATGAAAGAACGAGTAATCAAATCGACTATTGGTAAGACTGAATATTGCTTGATGACGGGCTCGAAATAGGCCGAAGATGTATCAGTGATATAAAAGAAGGACCGGAAACTGGAAGGTCGGTGAAGAAAGTGAAGAATAAACGTTGGAATGCAGAAAAGTAGAAATGAAATAGTGTAAAATGGAACGAAACGTTGGTTGGGCGCGAGTATTCGTTGAAATGTGGTTTTCAAAAGTGGACTATATTGATCACTAAGACGAGAGACGACGCGAGAGTGGCACAGTAACTTCATTACTTAAAACAAAAGAAAAAGCTTCAAAAAGCGATGGTGAAAGCCATGGTGAAAAGATTGGATAGTGGTATGCAAATATACAAAATCAAAATAGTTCAAAAAAGGGAATAAACAGTAAAAAGTAATATGATAGACTGATAGATAGGGTTCGATAGTAAAAAGCGATCAAGCGACACGAGGAAAAAAAAAATAGAGTGGCAGGTGGAACGCCTTACAAAAATTCTTGGCCAAAACTGATATGATACTTGAATTGCCTTTTTTGGCATTGCTGAGGCATTCTACGTCATTAGCCAGTTTCGCGGTTTGAAATCAGCGAAATGACCTGAAATGAATTTCCAGAAACTGCCTTCCCCTCTGTTTAAACATCATGAAGAAACTCAATAGTCTCACTTCCGGTATCAACTCACCTATTCCTACAAGCTTAGCAGGTAAGCGGAACCACGTCGGATCTCATGGCCCAACCTTCTTTCAGAGCATTTCACAAACTAAACTCAATCGTGCTTTTAGGCGAATGCAAAAAGGCCGCTAAAATCCTGAACAGTTTTGTTGGTATGAATGGCGAATAACGGCAGCTTAGAAAAGTGGAACGGACGATTAAAAACCTGCTTATTAGATCCTGGACAGGGACTTGACAAAGTGATCCCGCCCAATATTCTTGCCAATGCCCAAGGTTTGGCTATATACACTGTTCTGAAGGCCGGTTTTCTCTTTTCAGGACGTGCAGGCGGTGGTTTGGTCGTAGCAAGGTAAGAAAACGCGATGCTTGAATCTGTAGTTCTGAATTTGCCATACTGAAATAATTCCCGTGAAAATGATAGATTACCGGATGGAAGTAATTATCGCGCTTATCGTTTGGTATTGTGATTCCGCAGAGCAATTAATCATGGTGGATTTGATTTTTAGGCTGGTCAGCTCCTTCTGCTATTGGTACTGGAGGCATTGGTGCAGGTGGACAAATTGGTAAGTGGATGGTACTAGTGCATTGCCCGTTGCATTGCCCGGAAATCGCGCGGCGAAAAGGACAACAGCAATATTATCGGTGAATAACACGCACAATCCCATTTTGGTGATGATGATGAAGAAAAAAAAGGCGACATGTACTGATAACGACTTGGATAGGTGCCGAATTGACGGATTTTGTTCTGGTGTTGAATACAAAGCAAGCAGTAAAAACGTTTAGTCAATTTGGCAATGTTACTCTTGGTGGAAACGTTTCTGGTAAAGATCATCATGATGGGCGATTATATTTTATGGATTAGTGCAAGGTCCGCTAATGAGTTTATCCACTTTTTAGTCGCTGCGGGTCCCATTGGTCGTAATGCGGAAGCATCAGGTTCTGCGAGCTTGAAGCATATCGCTGCGATTTATTCTTACAGTAAAACACGAGGATTATTTGCCGGTGTGTCACTGGAAGGTTCCGTGGTCGTCACACGAGGGGATGCCAATGAAAAATTCTACGGTAGACGGGTCACGGCGAAGGAACTGTTGAATGGCACAGTAGCTCCACCACCGGAAGCCGACGCGCTGTACCGGGCATTGAATGCACGATTTCATAACTTGGGATCCACGGGCGCCATGTATGCCCGTAGTAGCAGTGAAAGCAGCCGATCGCCGACATATAAAAGCTCACACATCTCCGCCCCTGGCACACTCAGTCGACCGCCAGCACCCAGACAACAGCAACAAAATCCGTATTACGGTGCACCGTCTCCAGCGATGGGTTCTTATACGGGTCAACCGTCGCCACCTGCTTACAACGCAGCTCCGTCCACGAATGCAGGCGGTTATCACAATTACGGTCAACCACCTCAACCTCCTGCCCCTTATGCCGGAGACGTGAAACGGGCTCCTCCGCCACCGCCACCGAGTCGCAAACCTCAAATGGAGCCGACCGCTCGTGCTCTCTATGCGTTTACGGGAGAACAGGACGGCGATCTCAGTTTCCAAGAAGGTGATATTATTACCATTGTTCAGAAAAGTGACAGCACCGATGATTGGTGGACTGGAAAATTAGGACATCGGCAGGGCATGGTAAGTGTGGTTCAACAAAAATAGAAAGCAAAAAATTGGGTTCACGAATCTCACATCATCCCCTTCTTCTCATGTCACGTTTTAGTTCCCTGCCAACTATGTCCAGTTACTGCAATAAAGCGGGGTTCTCCCTAATCACGTAGACAAAATCACTAGTTAATATCAATGTAATCCTCACCCTTATTAAAATTTTGCCTCCGAGTTGTCATCTTTGTTAGTATCATCGTTTTCGATTGAGTGATTTTAAATCTGATTACATGATTTTACAAGACAATCAGTGTAGGTATTGAATTTCCGTGACCTGCGCTTTGTTTTGTGAACGGATCGACCGATAAACTACGGATGCGTTTGCAGTGCCAGCTGCCGCCGTACCATAGCAGCCGACCTCGCTGAATCCACGGAGGAGCCGACATTATTTGGGCGTCCAGTTCATAGGGCGTATTATAATTCTTTGACGTCCCGAAGATTTTTTTTAAAGTATTTGACTTAGTAAGATCATATCGCATTGGCATAAACATGCGAGCTTTTACAGCAAAATACCTTTTTTTTTGATCGTACGTTTCTCACGAACGGTTGGCTGAAATGAACGAGTGACAGAAATTACTTGAAAAGGAAACTCCGCCGCAATTCGAATAGTCAGCAGGAATACTCTAATGAGACCGCCTTTTCAAAAGGAGGGTCAAGTACAAAAATGCTATTCAGTAACGCTTTTTTTTCACATTTTGCGGTTTATTTCATTTTAGCTGTATTTGTTTTATCAAATGGCTACCAATTCTATTGTTGATATTACCAAACTATCCCCAAAGTTTCAAGACTTGTACGCGAAAGCCGTCGATTTCGTCGAGGTGATGCCCATTTCTCCATTGTGACCATGTCACTATGCATGTTCCTCATCGCTTTTTTTATTCTTGGTATATAGAATGAATGTATTCCTGCTGAAAAGACTTTCGCTTTACAAATGGGTCAAGGCGATCAGCGCTGGAAGGTGAGCCTATGGCAACACAGCATATTTGATATGAGCTGCTGAAAAACTTATATGTGTCTGCGAATAATATTAGATTGTTCCGCCTGTGATTGAAGAGTTGAAGGCCAAGGCCAGAAAATTGGGCCTGTGGAATTTGTTCTTGGGTCAAGATTATCCCGAAGGAGCTGGTCTCACCAATTTGGAATATTCTTTGATTGCCGAGGTAACCGGTCGTTCCCCTAAGCTCGCTCCTGAAGCGATGAACTGTTCTGCTCCGGACACTGGCAACATGGAAGTGTTTGCAAAATACGGTACACCTGCTCAAAAGGAAAAATGGCTGGTTCCCTTACTTGAAGGAAAGATCCGTTCCGCTTTTGCCATGACTGAACCTCGTGTTGCATCTTCCGACGCCACCAACATTGAAACCAGTATTCGTCGCGAAGGCAATGAATACGTGATTAACGGCTTGAAGTGGTGGATTTCCGGTGCCGGAGACCCTCGTTGTGCTGTTTATCTTGTGATGGGAAAGACCGATCCCGACAATAAGAACAAGCATCGCCAACAAAGTATTGTGGTCGTGCCTGCAGATACTCCTGGTATTACTGTTGTTCGACCTATGCAAGTGTTTGGGTTCGATGACGCCCCTGAAGGTCATTGCGAAATGGTTTTCAAGAATGTCCGGGTGCCTGTTGAAAATATCATTCTTGGTGAAGGTAGAGGTTTCGAGGTGATTCAAGGCCGTCTCGGTCCTGGTCGTATTCATCACTGGTAAAATTTTGAAACGGTGCGGCGAATGCAAATTTATTGGTATCTGATGGTTTTTTATGTAGCATGCGCTGTATCGGTATGGCCGAACGTGCTCTTGAATTGATGATTCATCGTGTCACCGATCCTTCCCGTCGTACTTTTGGCAAGATCCTTGCTGATCATGGCACGATTGTGGCTGACATTGCCGACTCGCGTATCCAAATCGACCAAGCTCGTTTCTTGGTTTTGAACGCTGCCAAGAAAATTGACGAAGCCAAAGCAAAAGGTGCCATGAAGGAAATCGGTATGGCCAAGGTAAGAAGCGAGTTGATTTGATTGAGCGCCAGTGAACGAATTTATAAGTAACGAAAACTGTATAAAACGAATAGATCGTGGCACCTAATATGTTGTTGAGTGTCCTTGACAAATCCATGCAAGCTCATGGCGCTGCTGGTATTTCGCAAGATACACCTTTAGCTCATTTTTATGCTTCTGCTCGTACACTTCGTTACGCCGATGGTCCTGATGAGGTCCACCGCAACCAACTGGGCAAGACTGAACTCCGTCGTGCGGCCGAGATCACTGCCAAACTGAGCGCTCAAAAGGATAAGAGCAATAGACTCGCTTCTAAACTTTAAAATATCCTTTCTTCCTTGTATTATACAGTTTCAATCACAATTATTTTTTATATGGAACACGCTTCTTGGCTGTGACGCGGATCCACAGCGACCGATATTTTTTTAACGTCAAACGATTGGTCTTATACCAATTTACCTTATCTCCAAACTATGCTTACATCTCTTGAATAACGAAAGAAGAGCAAAGTGATATGATTCCTTGCCTGGTCAAGGAAGGAGGGTTGCCCAACTTTTTCCATGAAAGAAAGGTTTTGATAATGATGAGCGCATTGTGTGATTTTGTTAGAATGTTATCTCCGAACAGGAGCCAATGAAAAAGTCCGACGCGCGAAAAGTCAAGCATTATGACAAAGTTCCCTCTTTTTCGCTCTTTGCCATTTTAAGTAGTGGTTTTTTTGATTTTTTTTTTTTGGATTCTTTATTCTTTCTTTTTACAAACTCTAATCCAGGCGATCTTTTTCCCTTTTTCTTTGCTTATTTTCATGTGGAGACGACGTACAGTAAAAGTTCAAGTGCAGCTTCCAGAGCGGGATGCGCGAATTCTCGAGAAATATGAACGCAAAGTGAAGAAGTTTGACGAAATGTTCAAAATATGTTGTTGCTGGATCGGTTACGATGTTTTGCTCGGTAAGCAAATTCCCGCTTTTGATGGTATGATAGTCGCCGATCCACCACTATTCTAAGATGATTCTATTTTTACACTTGCTGGGATGATACGCAGAATTCATCCCTATTGTTGGCAAAGTGATTTCTTTGTTCTTTGCGTTATCGCTTTTCAACCTAGCTTGTGAAGCCGACCTTCCTCGAGTACTTCGCAAGCGTATGTTGTATCACATTACCGTTGACTTTCTGGTAAGTCATTTGCAATAAATTCAACATGGGGCATTGGAATGTTGACGCAATGACGGGATTTAGCTTGGTTTAATTCCTATTCTTGGCATTTTTCTGGATATGCTGTATCGGGCTCACAGCAAAAATGCTCGTTTATTGCGTAAATTTCTATTTGATCGTGCAAGGCAAAACTCGTGCGGCGAGAATAATACTCAGGAGATCAGCGTACCTACCCCAGCACTAACTGACGCGCAAAATGGACCGTTGTCTCAAAAGAACAACTAACGAGAATGCGGTTTCTGAAAAAGAAAAAAGAGAAAAAAGTAGTATACCCTTAAACAAAACATATGTTTACTTCCCGTGATGCGAGTGAAGCGAGGAAGATTTTGTTGATGTGATTGATAAAGTGTAAAGACAAATTAAAAAAAAAAAAAAAAAAAAAGGGATCTTCCGTTTCATGACGATCTGCACACAAAAAAGACCGAGAGTTATTGGGTGCCTGTGTGCAACCGTAATGCAACACAAAAAAGCGCGGACCTGTAAGCCACGACATACCATCTCATTTCAGACGCAGAACTTTTTTTTTTCTTGGCTTCCTTTTTTTCTTTATTACAGATTGGGAGACTTTGCTTTTCACCTCCATTTCTCATGACAAGTAAGAATGCTACTGCAAGCAATGAGTCATTACGCAGTCTATAAACAACCATTTTTCTTCTCTGTAGCTCTTGAAAATCCTACTGCTGCTGACTCTGCCAGCAGCCCTGCTCCCGAAGTACCTGCAACTGCGAATAAAGATGAGTCACCAGTTCACAATGCTCCATCTTTGGCATCATCTCCCATACCCACTACTCCCATCGAACGTACCACTTCCAAAAGCAGTACTCATTCTGAGGCCGCACCCGTGAGTCAACCAATCACGACTCAATTAGCCACCCAACCCACCAGTCAACCCGCGAGTCAGCCTGTCAGTCAGCCCGTTAAACCACAAGTGCATCCTGCAGTGACCAAGTTAAAGGCGCAGCTGGCTCTACAACGGCGTCATTTGGAAGGTCTGGAGATAGAACGGCAACAATACAAGGCCGAAAGCAAAGCGCTTGAAGATCGATTACAAAAAACCAAAGAAAAAATGCAACAACGAGAGCAAGCGAGAATTCAACTGGAGAAAAATTACAACGACCACTTACGGTCGATGCGTGCCACCAACGATGATCTCGACTCTATTGCAGATAAGCTTCGACAGCTGAAACAGCAAATCGCCAATTTGGCCGATGAGCTCATGGACCGGTTGGATCCCGTCGTCGCCACCCAAGCACTTCAAACCTTTTGGTTGAACCTACAAGATCCCATCCAAGAAATGGGGTCTCCTTTACCCCTTCCACGTATACGCATGCTGACCGAGAAATTTATCATGGACGTACTAGTGCAAAATATGAACCTCAATGTGTTTCCAGGTTTGCAGGTCGCCGACGAGTATAACCAACTCCAGTACTTTTTTGAAAAACACGATCCTGCTTTCAGTATTCGGTTACGACAGGAAATTGCCCTGGTGGTCGTGGCGAAAAATATCCGTGGAAACGACGTGCATCAATCTTTATACCAGGCAGTGCAGAACAACTGGAAATTCCTCTACGGAGGACTCATCAAAGCGTACCCTTCCATTTACCAGTACGATAAGGCCGAAACAGATGTACGAAAACAATATGGCGCCAAAGTTCAAATGCTTGTAGAACATTCCATGGCTTTAGGATTCGCAATGAAGGGACAAGAAGTCGATATTGCGGCAGCAGACACTCGTGAACGCGTTCAGCCATTCAATCCAGAGTTGATGATTGACCAAGACAACCGAAATTCCGGGATTGTTCAGTTCTGCATATGCCCGCCCTTTGTCGTCTACGGTTCGCAAATTCGAGCCCTTGAAAAAGGACGAGTCCTGTGCTCAGCCAATCCGTAAACTGTTGACCACTTGATATTTTTTTTCAAGGGATACATGGTTTTTTTTATACGTTGCTCTTGTTCTTTTGTATTCCGTCATTTATTTGCCATCTTATAAAAACTCGTATAATCTCTCTCTTCCCCCCCCCGCCGATTTTCCGTGTCACCAATTCTGTGAAAAGCATTCTCCAAAAAGGAATCAGTTTTGCCTATCAACGGGGACTTGTGTGGATCATATCCGCTTGTGGATCAGACGGTAATGCATAGACAGGGAACTTTTCGTCTGTATAGCAAGGAAAAAACGCGATGCAGTTATGCATAGACGGACATGGGCCGGCATGAATTGATAGTCTGGCAGTTTTCTTTTTTGGATGCTAATAGCTAATGTAGTCCGATAAGGCTGAGGATGAGCTGAAGCTTTTTACTACTTTATCGGAGCGCCATAGTTTTGTGTCCCCAAATTCATTTCATCGGCTCCGCCTCATCAGCAAACTAGGTGGTTTGCCTTTATTATCGTGGTTCAATGTTAAATACCTTTGGTCAGTCATAAAATGTTGACTTTTGCCTTGTAACATGATTGTATGTCCTTGGCTGGTATGATAACTGATAACGTTGACTTTTAGCCACCCGCCGGAAAATTGATAAATCTGTAACTTTTTTTTGCATATGAAGCACAAAATGAAGATGAAAATAGAACAGCTAGTAACACACGCTCCATACATCGGCTTAAACATTATTAAATATGCTTTTGCATTTTCATTTCGAATCCGAATTTCTGGCTGCAGTTTAGAAGGTGTAAGGACTTTTTACGCGATTCACCTGACACAAGGGTATCACAATGATGCTAAATGGCCATACATCGCAACATGTCACATGGGAAAAAAAAACTGAGCGTGAGCCTAATACACAGTAGGAGCCTTCTTTTTTTTTCATTCTTTTCACAGCCCTTCTTGTCCTCGCTCGTTCCATGCATGTATCGAAACTCGAGCAATAACTGGAAAACAGCCTATCCAGGCGTCTTTGGCGATCCTGAAACTTTCGCTTTTAATAATAATAATGTAAATTGCTATCCAACGTTTTTTTTTCTTAGTCCCTCAACCATACCATTAATGTGAAATCCCCATATTCAGGAAAGCAAAGAAGAGACGGATGCTTACAGCATTTATCGCACTCCTATGACATCCCGGCAAAACTCTATAATGTCCACCACTTCGTCGTGTTCCTCATTGTCACGACACTCCACCAGTTCTTCCACGTACTCCATTCCTTCACTAAGTGATTCGTCCTTGAGCGAACACCGATCGTCGTTGAGTCGTCGATCTGTTCAACTCAACGATTATTACCACCGGGAACCCCAGGATACGATACACCGTTCGGGATCCAGCGGCCTGAAACGACGAGTACAATCAAACTTTGAGTACGTGGATCCAGAAGCGTACATGTCGTCCGCAGTCGCATGCACGAGTGGTAAGCAAACCCTTCATTTTGTGGTGGCAACCCTGGCAACGGTACGCAAATTGTGAACAATCAAACAAATTGCCTATTATTTTAACTGAAAAAAATATATTTGTAGGATTCAAAAAGGGATTCACTAGACTTGTTATTTGGCATTGATCATGTACGCAAGTCAGTTTTCAAGTCACCTTTTCGATACTTTTTATGCTGATCCCTTCTGTTTCATAGAATACTGAGGAACGTACAATTTCATGGACCGTTGACGGTCAAAGCGCCTTGGTTACCTTGGCTCAACTTCCGGACGCAACCAAGGAAAATTTGCATAAAAATGAAAATCACCTAGACAGTTTAGTGCAACGCGGAGGCATCACCACTTTTTTATTGTTGCTACCTTCCATGTAAGCTGCTATTTCAGTAAAAGGGTGACACAGAGTCTATCGATGAAGATCTCATGTCCATCGGTTTTTTTTTTTCTCTCTTTCTTTCAGGGACGATTTCGAACCGTTATTGGATCACGTCACGGAACTCCTGGGCGAATTTGATACGGGTTTCTCTTGCTGGCCACGGTTCATCTTGGCGATCAATGACGTGAAATTTAGTTCTCAGCAGGTGAAAAAGGAACGCGAGGCCATCATGCGATATCAGGTACCTGAACTCTGTCATCGCTTCCAATGTCCTGTTACACCGTCCGTACTATTTGCAAGCACCAAGCTGTATAAATGGCTTCGACGATACAAGACCACTCAAGCACAGCAGTATCGAAACCATTGTCGGCGTTTGCTGTGGCGGATAATGGATCATCATCAACGTGCCAATCAGTGGCGGGGGAACCGTAACCAACCCGATGTGGAAGACGAACCGGACAATTTGGACATTTTAGCGGGTATCGTGGGCTAAAACAAAGTTTATTCGTTATAAAAAAAAAAAAAAAAAAAAACGATGTGCACCCACCCCTCTAGCAGCATGATTCCAATGTCAGCACAGCCAGACCAGTAAAAGACGTGGAAAAGAAACTTGAATCGGAAGTCGTATGCCGCACGACAACCCTGTCTTACCATATATGGACGGTCGTAGATGAGTCACTATTGCGAGCCAATTTTTCATCCTTTTCCTGCCGAATCTCATTTTTACCTTCCCCTTTCATTTTTATCAAAATCATATAATTTATTATAGAATAAACAGCATGAGCACCTTTGTCATCCTATCATTTCATTATAAATCAGATTTTATTCAACCTTATTTCACTAGTTTCAAAAGAAAACCGGGAATACGAATCATGGATCGGTAACTTAAATCAACGATTCACGCTCCGCCGTCAAAGACAGGAGCCAAAAAAAAAAAAAAAAAAAGAAATCAGGAATCTATATAATCCCAAGGGATTGGTGTCTCCAAACCTGTCATCTCTCTTTTTTCTTCCTTATCCTCTTTTTTTTCCGGATTCCCAATTCTACAAAATGTGTGGTATTTTTGCATGCTACAACTACCAAGGCAACGTTGAAGACTTCCGCCAACGTGCTCTGTACCTTTCCAAGAAGTAAGTTCTTCGTTTTCCAATAGTGATCACCCACAACCACAGAGAAAAACCCACAAGGAACATCGTGGCTGCTCTGAAGAATAAGCATTAACCTGATTTTTCTGTTACAGGATCAGACACCGTGGTCCCGATTGGTCTGGTTGCTTCGTTGGCAAGAACACTATTCTTGCTCACGAACGTCTTGCTATCGTTGGTGTCGGTAAGTGATTAGGGAACGTTGCGTATTTTGTGTGAGACATACATCGTAACCATTTTTTTTTTCGAAAAAAAAAAAAGATTCTGGTGCCCAGCCTCTTGTCAGCGATGATGAGAACTTGGTTCTCTGTGTCAACGGTGAAATCTATAACCACAAGCAGCTTGCACGCAACTTGAAGACAACCCCTGTCTTCAAGACCCACTCTGACTGTGAAGTCATCATGCATTTGGTAAGTCTCAATGAAAAAGACAGAATGGGCAGGAAAGGATTTTAGCTAATTTGTTTTTGCACTTTATAGTACAATGAAATGGATACCGAACTTGTTCAGCACTTGGATGGTATGTTCTCCTTTGTCCTTTTGGATCAAAAGCGCAACCGTATCATTGCTGCCCGTGATCCTATCGGTATCACCACTTTGTACTATGGTTGGGATTCCAAGATGCCTGGTACCGTGTACTTTGCTTCCGAATTGAAGGCTTTGAATGAGGAGTGCGATAAAATCTTGGCTTTCCCTCCTGGTCACGTCTACGACTCCGAGACCGGTGAAACCACCCGTTGGTTCAACCCTTCTTGGTGGGAAGAAACCCGTGTGCCTTCTGCCCCTGCCAACCTCAAGCTTATCAGAGAATCACTCGAAAAGGCTGTGCGCAAGCGATTGATGGCTGAAGTTCCTTATGGTGTTTTGTTGTCCGGTGGTTTGGATTCCAGCTTGATTGCCGCTATTGCTGCAAGAGAAACCGATAAGATCGCTTCTGGTGCCACATCTCCTGAAAGCGACGATGATAGATATGATTCGAGTAAGTCATTTTCTGATTGGATGATAATTATTCAATCACCGCTCAAAGAAAAAAATATCTGACTCTTGTGGTTTCTCGTTTATTCTAGGCGGTCCTACTTTGTGGCCTCGTCTTCACTCGTTTTCTATTGGTCTTCCGGGATCCCCCGATTTGATTGCCGCCCGCGAAGTGGCCAAGCACTTGAACACCATCCATCATGAATACACTTTTACCATTCAAGAAGCCTTGGACGCCGTCAACGATGTCATTTACCACCTTGAAACTTACGATGTTACCACCATTCGCGCTTCTACTCCCATGTATCTTTTGTCACGTAAGATCAAGGCAATGGGTGTGAAGATGGTGTTGTCTGGTGAAGGTGCCGACGAAGTGTTTGGTGGTTACCTTTACTTCAACGCCGCTCCTGATCGTGAAGCCATGCACGCCGAAACCGTCACTCGTGTCAAGAACTTGCATACCTCCGATTGTTTGCGTGCTAACAAGTCCACCATGGCTTGGGGTTTGGAAGCTCGTGTGCCGTTCTTGGATAAGCAATTCTTGGAAGTTGCCATGAACATTGATCCCGCAGAGAAGATGCACGACCGCAGCAAAGGCCGAGCAGAGAAATATATCTTGCGCAAGGCATTCGACACCTCCGATGATCCCAGTGCCAAGCCCTACTTGCCCGACAGCATCCTGTGGCGCCAGAAGGAACAGTTCTCAGACGGTGTTGGTTACAGCTGGATTGATACATTGAAGGAAATCAGCTTACAAAAGGTCACTGATGAAGAATTCGCTACCGCATCCCAGAGATATACCAAGGACGCACCCACCACAAAAGAAGCATTCATGTACCGTGTCATGTTCGAGAAGTGGTTCCCTCAGGAAGCTTGCACAGCCAGCGTTGTCCGATGGGTTCCCAGAGCCGATTGGGGCTGCCCTGAAGATCCTTCTGGTCGTGCTCAAAAGGTTCACGAAGCTGCTTATGATGGTCAATAGATACACAACTCATAGACAGAAGAAAACAACAACCCATCCCATCCCCAAATTGAAATCAAAAAATGTTAATCATCCTACGCTTTACTGTTTATTCCAAAAGCATCCCAAAAAGTAAAATAAACTCTGTATCATAGAAACCATTATTTTATATCTACAAAAAATCGATCATCCTTCTCCTTTTGTACTTTTCCATTTCCTTGCCTAGAAAATATTTGGACAGCCCCAATGTAATACAAAAAGACCAATTTTCAAGGGGGGTCACTTCAAAATAGAAAGAAAAAAAATTGACACAAATAGCAGTTGCATGCTTTATTTTTTTTACGTTTTGTGGGGGAAGTTTATTTGTCATAACACATAGATAGCGTTGATACAGGTGGAAGACGATGGAACACCGATGCGGCGGGTGACATTGGCGGAGGCGATTGAGCAAGAGATAACAGTGATTCAGCTATTTGACGGTCGATGGAGCAATGGTGACATTCCTGATCCTCTGGCACAGGGTTGCTTAGTGCTTTATCAACGTTGGATAACATGGAAGCGGTGCTCGATAACAGAGCCGATAGACGCGTCACCTCATGCTGCAAACTTTGACGGTATTCTAAAGTATGATTGCAACAACAAGCGGGAAAAGGCGACAAAGACGGAGATAATGATGTCATTGATACAGATGAAGATGCAGAAGAGCCGCAGGAAGAGGATGAGCATGATGATAATGAAGACGAAGAGCAGACAGAAGAAGTAGTTGAAATAGCAGATGATGAGGAAGGAACCGCCGATTCAGATAGTTTTCTCTTGTGATTTTTATCCATAGAACAACGCTTCCTACGTTTGATCTCGCTGCGTTTCATGCTAGGAGGACGATGAACAAGATGCAGTTTATAGTACAGGCCACAAGCATTACAAATTGTCTGGCCCTGGGCGTCTCTTCGCCACAACGGTGTGGCGGTGGCATGACAGTTGGCGCAAATGGGGGATGAAAGCATGGAATTCAAGGGACGCTTATTATGACCGGCCGTTGCTCGGCAATCGTCACACCACGGGTTAATCTCCACCTTATCGTTTGGTATATAATATGAATGGCATCCTAAGCATTTTCTTTGCAATCGCTTCTGTAGCAGCGTTTCCTTCTTTTGTGCCGCCATTTTTGTTTTTGGTTTTTTTTTTTTTTGTGATACGAGAACAATACAGAAAATCAGAGAAAGAACGAGAGACGGAGACGAACTTGAAAGAAAAAAAAAAAGAAAAGCGACCCAAAGTTATCTGGTGCGTTGGTCGCATTTTATCAACAGCGATAAAAACGGGATTTAATCCTGGGTATCTTATTGACCAATCACATCATATTCATCAAGGTTTTGGGCGACACGAACACGCCCAATTTGATGGACCAATACGTCATCAGCTCTCAAAAATTCTGATGGCAGCACTCAGGCACATTGGTTGGGAAGCCTTGTCCTCATATTGCTATCGTATCATTTCAAGTGAAATACTCAGGTACGCACAGTGATCTTGTCCGTTTGCTTGACGACAACGGCTGAGTCGAAACCATCAGAATAGTCGCATTTTGGAAAATGATATACCTTGGAAGATATCGGCGGTGACACGATCGACTTGTGTAAACTGTAGTAGTGATTACAGTCTTCAGTATAAAAAGTTCAGCGAATTACTGCGCTTTCTGCCTTCCTTCTTATAATGTAAATAAGCAGTACCATGGCTGATTAACCACGACAAAACCACATGGACACATACACCGAAAGACATAAGAAAGCTTGCTCATTTTTACTTTGTTCTTTGTCTAGTTACTCTTTTTTTTTTTTTTTTTTTTTTTACCTGGCTTCATCTTTTCTCCTTTTTTGTTGTTTTACGACGATTAAATAGTATTGGCCCATGCACAAAAGAAAAAAGGCCCAGATTGCTCTGATACACGAAGGCTTGTATCTTGGGACTGGCCTCTCTCATATTTGTCTCTTTTTATATTTGCGATAACGATTTCTAATCAAAAGGTGTTCCGTAACGATGGATGTCTCCGTAGTTTAGTGGCTATTCATTTCGGTATGGTTATGTTGCCCTGGTGGTAGTTGCTGTGGGCGAGAGGCCATGACGCGTTTCAGGGATGCCATCCATGGATTCTCAAATTGCCGAAGGAACTGGTATTCTCTGCTTATCCGATGCATTTCCTGAGTTAGTTTCCTCATATTGGCCGGATGATTGATGTAGTTTTTGTCGTCAGCTAGAAACGATTGCCGCTGCAACATCAATTTATGCTGCGTTCGACTCGTAGTAGGTGTGTATGGCATATGAGAAAAATAATCACCGTTGGGCTTTCTTATATACGACGGGTATCTTAACTTCAAATTTCTCCGTTCAAGAAAGAAAAAAACCCTCTGAGATATTATTTCAAGCCAGTTTTTATAGGAGAAAAAAAAAACAATGATAATCGCACAGACACATGACATTTCTCGATTTGTTCTATTTTCTTTATACGACCACTTTTGTAAACAATATAGAGAGCTTAAATCTACGCCAAACTCGCGATAACTGGGCTAGAATGGTATAAGCAATAGGGCTTTGTCTTTTGTACAGAATAAAGAATAAGAGTAAAGCAGTGAAGAAATTCACAGCGGCATGTTTGCCGGCTGCCTGGATGAACAAAAAGCATTAATAATTTTCGAATTTTCTTAGTTTTTCGCTTTTGCCAGATGTTTTTGCTGTGAAATAAATACCTTGATCACCCAACGCCAGCTATCCCACACTTTAGCTTCTTCTTCTTCGTCTTCTTCGTCTTCAGATCCGCTGTCGTCAGTGGTAGAAGTAAAGTGATTGGATGTTGCTCGCATCATCTTTCGATGATCACGATTGATCAATTCTTGTCGTAACTCGTCGATGCGATCATTGAGTGCAATGACTTCCGATTGTAAGCTTTCCAGTGCGCGTTTCGTTGCAGGCCCAAGGGCGACCACCGATGTATATTGAGGATCTGCTAAGGATCGATTCTCCATAAACCGTTGTGGAGGAGGTCGCAAGTCCGTGCCTGAAGATAGTGAGCGTAGTCCACCTGCATTCATCGCCGCCACATTGGATGCTGTTGCAGTAACCGAAGAAGACGTACTCGATCCATGGATAGGAGATTGGAAAACAGAGCTGGTCAACTGAGCTGGTGGAGAGGTCGTCCTCGTCGCCATACCACTCGCTGCAGAGGACGGACGCGCTGATGCTGTGGAGGCGGCGTCGTCTTTATTGGATTGTGTGGGATACTGTGCCCAGGGATTGACTGTATCGTCAAAATTTTCGTCGAATAAAGATTCACGTGGTAGCACACGCCCCAGGCGCTGGGAAATCATGTGCAAACGTTTATCATGAGATGCTGCTGAAGGAGGACGTGGACTGACAGCTAAAGATCGTGAGGGTCGTCGTGCGGCGGAAAGAGAAGACTCCGCAGTGACAAGTGATGTTCGGCCAGATTGGGCTGATATAACGGAGGCAGCCCGTAAGGTAGGTTGCCCTTCGTGCCATGATTGTCGTTTGGCTCGTATCGACGGTGATCGCGGTGTTGCGGAACGAGGAGAGGCTAGTGACCGCATTGATCGGGAAGGAGGACGAGGTGGAGGATGGCTGTCAAGTGATCCGTATGCCTCATCTTTGTTCAGTGATGCAGGCGTCAATCGTCCTGCACTTTGCTGAATATCTCGCAAATACGCTTGTTCTTCCGCATCTGCTGAACCGATACTCGATTCTGCCAACTTTGAGCAACTAGCTTTTATCCACTAACATGCCGGATCATCTCCATGGGATTTCGTACCTTCATCTTGGACGCTGCCGGCATCGGTACTATTAGCGTCCTCATCATCGTCGCTATCATCATCATCACCCGATGGTCGCATTATCGCAAACACCTGTATAATTTGCTGGGCTTGAGCTTTACCGACGTTTCTCTTGTATGCCTAATATGGATTTCGCGTGCATGAATGAATGCGAATTCCAGCAGATATGTTTTTTTTTCTGGTAAGCATACCTCTGTAGCTGCTCTAAGTAAAGTCTCCACGTAACGATGCTTCGCTTCTAGCGTAGTCATGCCTTCCAACTTTTTCCAGGCGTCCCTACGATAGTCTCGTCAACCTACTGTTCCCAAGAGGATTGCAAAGCAATTGGACATTATACCATTTGGCTCGTCCAACCATATCGAATAGTCCGGGTCGTTGTGTAGTGATATCTCCATGGGATACTTGTTTATAAAAGGCATACAACTTTAATATGAATAAAGAATTTGCTTAACAAACGGTTTATCGGCTACCGAATTTTTTTCATCCCAGTATCCAAAGAATATTCACCTCCAGCTTTTGCTCTTTGGTAGGCTGAAAAGCAGATGACGCCGGAAGATGCTGAACCAGATGCAGTGCCTTGTTGTACCTTTGGTTTATATAACGTTTGCTGTAAGCAGAGGTAATCGTGGAATTAGTCATTAGTGTAAGGAAAGCGTAAACTGAAAAAGAACTGTAAGCTGTAGGAGAAAAAAAAAAGCACAAAAATATTTAAAAAATTACGAACGATGTTGAGAAAACTGAGGGCGGGTCTTCGTGACGTTGTACAACCCTTTTTCAGCCATCCTCATCGTTGACCTCTATTTCGTTTTTCGTTTACTCTGGTATAACAGTTCTGCTTTTCAATGGCCACATCCACTTCATCTCCTCGGTCCGATACTGTATCCAGACCCTACTCACCGCAACAGCAGCGACAGTCGAACGTTCCATCCCATCCACTCCAACAACAGCAACAGCTACCGTTACCCCAGAGACAAGCAATATCACAACAACAACAGGGCGACGACGACGGTCAAGCACCGCATGTCCTGTCCTTGAAAGTAATGCGACTGTCGCGTCCATTGCTAGCCACCAATAGCCCCATTTATTACGAGGCGGCCGAGAAACCCAACTCGTTGGTGGAAGGGCTTGAATCGCTGAACATCTCTGATCTTGCAGCTTCTCATCCTGTTCTTGCCACGGAGAACATTCAAATTCGCGATTTCGGACTGAGTGAAATGCTCCAACTGCCTTCGAATTTTGGAAATATATACCTGGGAGAGACGTTTAATACGTTTATAAGCATCAGTAACGAAAGCGATCAAGCCGTCCATCAAGTAGGCGTGAAAATCGAACTACAAACTTCCTCACAGCGATTCATGCTGTCCGACACGACGACCGTACCGCGCACCACGCTCGAACCTTATTCGACCCATGACGTGACTGTATCGCATGAAATCAAGGAATTAGGGGTTCATATTCTGGTGGGATCGGTGCATTACACTTCAGCTGATGGCAAAAAAAGGCATTTTCGCAAATTCTACAAATTTCAAGTATCGAACCCTCTCGCCGTAAAAACAAAGCTGAATAACATGGCGGACGGTCGAGTTTTTCTCGAGGCTCAACTGCAGAATGTCTCTGCTGGGCCGATGTACCTTGAACGCATGAAATTTGAATCATCCGAACATTTTACACATCAAGATCTCAACTTCAAAGTGCCTTCCGGCGATCCATCCAGTGATCAAAACGAAACTTCCGTCTTTCACACCCAGTTTATTCACCCGCAAGATGTACGTCAGTATCTGTATATGCTTATTCCTCGCGAATCAAGTAATAAACGCATTGCTCGAACCACCAATGCGCTGGGTAAACTGGATATCATGTGGCGATCGGCGATGGGCGATCTTGGCCGACTGCAGACGTCGCAACTTACACGTAAAGCTCCAATGCTGGAAGAGATTGAAGTGCAACCATTCTGGATCATGCCGGGCCCCGTGAAGGTTGTCTTGGAAACCCCTTTCAGGCTCGGCATACGAGTTCACAACCATTCGAATCAAAATATGAAACTTGTCTTATCAGCTGTGAAAACGAAAATGGGATCAGCTTTATTGAGCGGATTAAGTAGTCGACATTTGGGCGAAGTGGGTGCCAACCAATCCATAGAGACACAGCTAGATTTCTTCCCTTTAACGCCTGGATTGCAACGGGTAGGAGGCTTACGCGTCATGGATCTGCTAACGGGATATACGAAAGAAGTGGATCATTTATGCGACGCTTTTGTTTTAACCGAATAAAGCAATTACGGCATGGGTTATACATACATAACTACACACAAATTACACACACACGCATATTCTTACACATGGGTCTCATTTTCTTTCACTTTTTTTTTGGCTGGTTCACCACCACCCCATCAAACGATTGCCGTCTGTTGTATCGACATAACCAATCAGGTTTCTAAGACCTGATCATAATATTCACCGAGCTTTGAAACTCGGTAATCCCTCGCTAATAGGCATTATCGGGAAGTGATATAAAAGAAACAAGACAGGGTTTTAGCTGTAGGTTCCTTCTCTCTTGATCTTTTTTTTTTTACACATACACAAATGGCTACTCAAGTTCAACCTCAAACGGTGCAGCCGGTCGCTGACACCATCCAACAACAAGCGCCTATTTCGCGACCCGTCGATGCCACAATGCCTGGCGGAGTCGGAGCGCCTTTTGCCAGTTCCAGACTTCAAGCATCAAAGGAAGAATCACGCGTTGAAAAGTTAAAATGGTTCGAAATGGTACAAGCCATGAAGGAGGGCAAGATGCCCACGAATGCTCAAATCAACGAGTTCATCAGTCGCATGATTCAAAGCCCGACCATCGAAGCTCGAAAGAATAATATGAGTGCTGAAGGACAACAGTTGCTTGCCGATTTCCGTGCACTTTTGCAGACCATGCAGAATGCTTTGGCGACAAAGAACAAAGACGAGTTGTTCCAAAGTCTTGTCTACCACTTGAGAAACATCCAACCAGCATCGGTGAATAAAGGTAAATATTCCAACCCCGACCGTCGTTCCCCGTTGGGTTAAATCAAATGATAAAATTCATGCGAAAACTTACCGATGCAAATTAGAGCAATTGAAAAGCCTGTCAACTGGTACAGACACACAAGAGGTGAAACAAGAAGCCAAGTCTGGTAAGCGCAAAAGTTAATTGCCATTAGGAGAAAAAAAAACTAATCGATGCAATGTTTCTAGGCGGTCAAGCTATAATGAAAATTGCCCGATTGGTTGCCACCAATAGCAGTTTCCGTAACGTGGTCAATGAGCTTATTTCCATCGCTCAGGAAATCTTTGGTGAAGCTACCACCAAGGCCAGCGGTAGCCTGAAAGCCGCCGGTGAACAACTCAGTGCGAAAACCGAACAATACGGTGACCAAATGCAAGAACTGACACAACCCGAAAAGCAAGAAGAGGTGACGGAAAAAATGAAAGCCTCGGCTCAAGACACACAGGGAACGAAGGAACAAACCACGGAAGCAGCTCAACGCAAACGCCAGGAGCTTCAGCAGCAGCTTCAGCAAAAGGCTTCTGAACAAGCTGCCGCGGCCAAGGACTATGCTCGCCAAAAGTTCCCGCCAGAGAAGGTCAATGATCTGATCGAACGTCTCAAGGCTGCCTTGGGTGAAGTTCAGCAACATCCCGATTACCAAAGCGCCATCGACTCCGTTATCGGTTTGTTCAATTCCTGGTCCAATCGTGCTGGTGCTATTACTCAGCGCACGGCTGGCATGGCGACCGAGGCCGCTCAGCAAACCCGAGGAAATGAAGCGTGGAGCCAGGCTGAGTTGGAATTGAAGACCATTCTTGAAGACTGGGCTCAAGGACTTTCACTGGATCCCTTGATTCAGACTTTGAAGAACGTCTTGGACAACGTGAGAAATGATCAAAACTTGCGTACCTACAAGGACGATGTTGCTCGTTATCTGCAGCGACTCTTGAAGGAACCCAACTATGTCACTGATCCTGCTTCCACGGATGATGGCAAGGCCTTGATTGAAAGAGGACGTGAAGTGACTGAAGGCCGTTATCGTGGCGATTTCGATGCTTTAACCACTGAAGGTCGACGCTTCACGCAATCTATCGCTGAAGATCCCATGGCCAAAGAACTCAACGAACGCTTCACTCGTATTCACCAGGACTTGTGGTTCGATAAGTATGTAGACTACCTATTACTGACATCATGATTTGGCCTCCTCACTCTTTTCTTTTGACAGAGATGGACATCCTGCTTTCAAGCCTCAATTGCTGAACGATATGCGTATGACTTTATTGCCTGCGATCCTTGAGCAGATCAAGTTTGTTCCTATTCCTCGCATTGAATACAGTGATCCCCAGTTTGATGTTGTTATCGAGAATGTGATCTTGGCTGGTGATACTTTATTACCCAACATTCTTGAAATGAAGGTATGATGAAACATCAACGGGAAGATGGTTTTTACATACAGTCTTATATGATTTATTGCAGATGGAGAACTTTACTCGATTCAGCCCCAAGACTGAAGTTACAAATGTCGACAACCAGACGATTTTCGTCAAGATGCACGAAATCCACTCGACCGTTGAAGATGTAAGATCAAGCAGTCTAGCTGACTTCGTAAAATATAGATGATAGATGAGCTCACTTCATTCATGGTAGGTTGTCTTTTATTTCAAGCGAAAGACTGGCTTTCCCAAGGTTTCTGACCGTGGTGTGGCTTCTCTTTACGTAAGTTCTTCAAACATTGCATGTGTTAAAAACCCCATCATTTATTGATTCCTTTTTTTTTTTTGAAAAAAAATCAGACGGGTGGCAAAGGCGTCAGTCTTGCTCTGCAACTGACGAGCAATTCTTTGGATCCCCAACACACCATCAAAGTCAAACATTGCAAGTGCCATATTGACAATTTGAAGGTTCGAATCCATGACAGCAAGCACAAGTAAGCTTAAAAATAACAGGAAAGATTGGCATGGCAAGCACCTCCGATTTTGACATGAATTTGAAAAATAGCTTGTTGTACAAGGCTGCAACACCAATGGTGATGGGTATTGTGCGCCGTCAAATGGCTAAAGCTATTGAGGCCAAGATTGTGGAGTCTATCAATCAAGGCGATCAAAAGATCACTGCTCGTTTGTATCGCGAAAAGGAATTGGGCAACGTTCAGAGTCGCCGCGCACGCCCTGGTTTGTTCTCCACTGGCATTGCGATGATGAATGCTCAGTTGAGAAAACGAGCTCAAACTTCACGTGAAAAGAAGCGAACCTCCCGTGTCACTGCTTAAAATGAGTCAAAATCCAGTATCTTCTACCTTCTTCCTATTTCTTTAGTATTCTTGCATTGTCATCGTTATATTTTACCGAATAATAGTAATAAACACCTCTTTGTCTGTACTTGAATATACGCTTTTATAATATAATTCACATTCATCATTCATCGTGCCCATGATTGTTATTTGACAGTCGCTTAGATTGCTTTATTTCAAAGAGTTGCAACCCCCAAACCGGCCAATTCCTCAGGATTTTTAAATACCGCCTAAAGTTGAGGCTCAATAAGTTTTCCAGTGGAGGGGAGTGACGTAATCGCCTACGCGTCAACGGGTTGAATTTCGCAGTTTTGGCCCATTAGTGCTCTCGTTTATCCACGTTCATTTCAACCATGGCCACCAAATTCACTTTACCGCAAGGCGGTTTCTCCTTTGATAATTACGCTAGGTTCGATGCCTTTTTCCACACAAGATAAATCGGGCTACCTAACTGATGTTGGATACTTAGAAATAAGGCACTAGAGTGCAAGGGCGCCAAACCACCAAAAGCAACCAGCACAGGTACCACCATTGTCGGTGTCATCTTCAAGGTAATAAAAGAACCGATTCATGGTCGTCAGTGACGGTTCTCTTAGTATATATGTATAGGATGGCATTGTTCTTGGAGCCGATACTAGAGCTACTGAGGGACCTATTGTTGCCGACAAAAACTGTGAAAAGATCCATTACATCGCACCCAACATGTACGTATCTGGTCATGCTCAGCAACACTGAATCGATTTATTGGCACTAACTTTTTGATAATGAAAGTTATTGCTGTGGTGCCGGTACTGCTGCCGATACGGAATTCACGACCAATCTCATCAGCTCTCAGATTGAACTTCATAGCTTATCCACCGGTCGAAAGCCACGAGTAGTTACTGCCATGACCATGTTGAAACAGATGCTCTTTAAATATCAGGGACATATTGGTGCAGCTCTTGTTTTGGGCGGTTACGACGCAACCGGTCCTCATTTATACACAGTCTATCCTCACGGAAGTACCGATAAACTACCCTACGTCACCATGGGATCCGGTTCTTTGGCCGCCATGAGTGTATTCGAAAGCAGATGGGAACCTAACATGACAGTACGTAATGGGACAATTAGCAAGACGACATGAATATAATGCTGACAGTTCTGGCTTCCTTTTTTTTTTTAGCGTGAGGCAGCAATTGAACTTGTGAAGGATGCCATTGAAGCCGGTATTTTCAACGATCTTGGCTCTGGTTCGAATGTGGACGTTTGCGTGATCGAGAAGGAATCAACAGATTATTTGCGAAATTATGCACGACCCAACGAGCGTGGCATGAGAGAGCAAAGCTACACATATCCTCGTGGCACGACGGCTGTACTGAAAGAATCTATCAAGAACTTGGTATCCGTTACCGAAGGCGATGCTATGGATGTGTCCGTGTAAAGAAAAAAAAAAGTCGACTGGTGAATAAAGAAAACTGTATCCCACAAAAAAAAAACGGGCATCTGATGGGGAAGAAAAAAAAAATGCTAGGTTTTTCAATGTGTACAGCTCGGTGACACTCAAAAGGAACGTCGGTCGAGGCATATGCAAAAAAGGTGGTTGACCGGGGTGAAGATGAATCTTTGTGAACAACTGCTGTCATTACAAACTGCAATTGATATGAGGGAAGAAGGAGATGTTGCAATGCGATGCAACCTATGGTCTCAAATGGTAAAAATGGAAGGGCAATATTTTGGGGGTGTCATTAGTTATCGGATGATGTATTTACAGGTTCTTCATCTAAATCATAAGCATATGTTTTGATACGATAGATCAAGCTATGGACTTCATCTCTGCATTTTTCAATGCTGAGAGTTAAACTAGCCGTATTTTCAGACGATGCATTTACATTGGTGATAAGTGATTGCATTTCCGAACATATATGATTTGCGGCATCTTTCATTTCAGCACTTGACCGTTGTTGCACACTTTGCACTTTTTCGATCCATTGGTCCCTGCTGGCCCTTTCCCGCTGGATTCTCGATTCGGTCACGGAGAGGATATGCTGATGCTCGGCGAGAAGTATACCGAGTTGACGCCTCATGGTTGTCAAATCATGGTTCAAGTCCGCCATTTCTCGCTGGAATCGTGTACTCATGCTGTGTATCGCTTCGGCGAGAACGGTTTGTTGGCGTTGAATGTATTCTTTACGTTCGGCGGCTTTCCGGCAATCTAATTCTAACAGTTTTTGTTTATCCTGCAACTCCTTGAATTGCTTGCGTGAATGCACGGCCTCATCTTTCAGTTTCTTCATCTCGGCTTCCATCTCTAAGGACCGTTTTTTCGTTTTGTCCAAAAGTTGCTGTTTCGATTCCAGCAGTTGCATGAGCTCTTGTACATTGGTCCGACATTGCGTGTTGGACTCTGCATGTGCTTGAGCTTCCAATTCATACTGTTCCTTCGCCGTTCGTGCATTTTCGAGCTACAATGGGAAAAAAGAAGACTATAAGAAGACATGACTAGACAAGACGATGCCAAAAAAAAAAAAAAAAAAAAAAAAAAAAAAAAAAAAAAAAAACCCCAAAAAAAAAAGTCCATTGACCTGTGTCTTGGTTGTTATGAGATCTTGCTCAAGCTGATTCCAGGTTGACTGAAGTTCTTCAATAACGCGAGTGGATCGTGAGGAAGACAGAGTAGGTTGTGGTGATACCGAAGACTTCGGTGCAGTTAACATGATAAAGGCGTGAGAAACATGAAGGCAACAGCGAGTTGAACCTACTGTTTTTTTCAGAAAGGGAAATCGTTGCTCGGTCATTCTCCTCAATAGGGTCACATTTTCGTACTCCTCCAGCTGGCGCTCTGACACGATTGAGATGGGCTGATTGCCAAAACCGGATGATTGCCTTTGCAGGTCCCTTGGATCGATAAAAGGAAGGTACAATGACATAACCGAAGGGCACCGAAAATGAGTCTAGCCCCTTATCCTACCTACACTGTGATGCCCCTCTCCTTCCATGATTTCTCAGGTCAAACGTACGAATATATCTAGCGAGCCATAAGATCCACTTCTTTATTGGAAGATACTGTAGTATTTTGTGATTATTTTTCATTTTCAAATTATGACATATCACTATGCAATAACTTGTGCTATGACAACCCTAATCCTCATCGTCTCCATGGTAGCATAACATACGCGTTGCTATGTGACAAGTAACAATCGAACACGAAAGCTTGCAAAAAAAAAAAAAAAAAAAAAAAAATTAGTAGTGGAGATCAGTCTATAAGAGTTCAAAACGAAAAGTCTAAGATAGATCGAAATCTGGCAGCAGAATGAGTGACAAAGGATAGAGTCCTAACCAAGAGCATTGAGAAAAATATTCTACTTGGCCACTCACATAAGTTATTATTTCAGAAAATAGGCTTTACTTTCATCGTTGGTGCCACATTTCACGCAGATGCGTAGTGTTGTTGCTTAATTCTACTCTGCCGCTATATCATCCATACCTAGTCATACCACCCCTGTTCCTAATGACTAGCGTACAAGTTCTTTGGTTGCTCGGTACTCCCATAGTTTACAATGCCGCAAAGCATTAAAGATTAAGTTTTTTTATCGCAAAAAAGAAAAGGCTGAATTGAACGCATAGAAGTTTGGTCGTATGTAGGGTATATAAGCGATTGTTATTCCCTTCAAATGCTCTAATATAATGATAGCCTTCATCCTTGATGGGTGAAAATCTGGATATTTTCACTAGCCTTACTCCTCTTCTAAGATCCAGTTATTTTTATGTATATTTCACTTTGGCTTCTGCTATAAATCACCTTTCACGTTTGGTTTTTTTGGTTTAGATCTTTAACGAGCTGTATGCGCTAAAGCGGATAGATCAATAGTATGCCCTTATCGCTTCGTAATAAGATGATCGTATATATCTTTTTACTTCCTTGCTTCGCAATCTGATGTTGCTTCTAGGATTTGTGGCTGCCATTACGCTTTTAAGCTGTTCATTTCATCCGGTTATTTATCAACAACTTCCGCCTTTTTATGAACGTGTCTCCTTCAGGGCCCTTAATTTCTATCGTGGATCCACCCCGACTGCGGCTGTTGTGTCTTTTACTTTTCGTTTCGTCCCGTGAATTCTAAGTACTCGGTGATGACTATTCTCCTCACAGTTTTTCTTTTGACGGCATCTCTATTTTTATTTTATTTGTGGTTATCCCTCTGTAATCTTCTTCACGCCCTTAATTCGGCCAAGGAATACTTCAGATTCTGCTGAAAAATAAAACCCCATCTATCGTCGTAAAAGTAGCTTCTCTTTGTAAAAAATATAATAAAATATAGAAAAGCTCTGCCACTTCAGAAAGAGCAAAAAAAAGTACGGACGATGCCGAAAAAAAATGAAGGTTGCTCACTACAGGGGTCGAACCTGTGACCTTGGCGTTATTAGCACCACGCTCTAACCAACTGAGCTAAGCGAGCACCCTTTTTCCGCTCTTCATCACTTTTTTCTCGTTTTTATAGCGGGGAAACTTTTAGCCGGAATTACACCTGTTCCACCCACACTTAAATCCCTTCCATCCATCATACATCCTTTGCCATATCGTGCATCCACCCCCTACCGACCTATTTCTGAAGTTTGAAATCGTTACCATCGTTCTTCTCTGAGATATCTCCAATTCAAGAAAAGTGTATCAAAGAAACACAACGTTAATTTCAGCCAGTTCCATCGCCGAATCTCGTTTTCCGGCAACCGCTTCGAAACTCGCATCGCCTTCTGTGTCCGGACCGGACTCAAATTTTGAATTTCGCTCGCCGACGACGCATCTCCATCCGATGTCCACAACTTCCCCTGACCAATTTGCGGCCATGCAGGCCCAAATTAATTACCTGACTGCGCAAGTCACTACGCACCGTACTGAACTCGACCAGATCCGCCACCTACTCGAAGAAAATCAGCAACTCCGTAATGAAAATGCCCAGTTGAAAGCCCAACTTGCTGCCGCTACCGCTAGCGTTTCCACTTCCTACTCCAAGCCTACTGTATCCACTTCTGCCCCTAATACTGAGACTGCAACCCGCCCAACTTCAACCCCTTCTGCACCCATGGGTTCTGACGCCTCGCAGTGGGCTACAGTCACCAAAAAGTACCGTCCTGTCCGACCTAAACCTAAGCCCAAAACTCGGGCTTCAGATGCTCGCACCTTTCAGATTACCGACGGCCCAAGTGGCTTCCAGTACTTGTATATTCCTCGATCTCGCCGCCTTACCCGCCACGAAACCCGTACCCGTCTTCGCCGTCTGGGCGTTGATCCATACCGTGTGCTTGACATCACTTTCCCCGCTCGTTCTGTTGTCGGCCTCCTGATCCATGTGCAATACCGTGCGCTCGTAGAGGAGACCCTCGGTCAGCATAATATCCTGGTGATCCACGACTTTGATCCCTGTGACCCCATCCACATGGCTGATCCTGAAGTCAAGCAGATGTCCCTCGCAGATCAACAAGCGTTTGCTGAGTCTCTCCATTCTGCACGATGCGAAAAAGCAGTGCTCCGTCTTCCATATCACCTTGCCTCCCCCATTGCCCGCTCTTTCCTGGAAGCCAACATTTTCGATACTGATGATGTCTCTCGTCTTCTGAGTCGCTGTCGTGGTGCTCCTGTGCCCCCTACCAACACTGATACTACCGAGAAAGACGACACTGATCCTGATACTGATATGGCCGACGCCAAACATGAACGCGCACCTGCCAGCAATGGCAAGCTTTAAAAAAAAAAATGATTAATCAACACAACACATTCACTCCTTCTTCGTCAACCTCGCTTGCCACTCATCTCCTAACGCTCCCATCTCCAACCCCACCTGTTTCCACCACCCCCTTTCGCATCGGCTTATGGAATGCCAATGGTCTCCAAGCCTCCTTAGTCGATGACATCCTCCAACACTGCCAGTCCTTTTCTCTACTTTTTATCACCGAAACTTGGTTAATCTCTCCAGCTCGACTCCGTACTTCTTGGTCCCAGTACCATTTATATGGTAGCCCTGTTGCGGGTAATTTCCGTGGTTCCCATGGTATTTCTGCTCTTGTTTCCCCCAGCTTTCCTTTCCACATTCTGCAATTTCCCATACCGTCTCCACATGCCCTCGGGCTACAGATCGGTACCTCGTTACGCATTATTTGCCTGTATCTGCCGCCCTCTCTGTCCTCTGATGAAGTCCTTGCTACCTTGAACGCTATCCCACTGACCCAAGACACTATTATTTGTGGCGATTTAAATGCTCGCCTGGGCCCCCTCACTGGTGACCATCGTTCAAATACCCGCGGACCCCTTCTCCAAGACTGGGTGGAAGAACGCAACCTTCAAATCCTCAACATCTCTTTGGCATACGGCATTCCTACCTTCCTCAACTACCGGAACGACCAGCTCCATAGCAGCATCGTTGATTATTTCATTACAAATATGCCTCACCTTTCGTCTTCATCGCTCCACATCTATTCTGCTTTGCATCTTGGCTCCGATCACAAGCTGATGGCCTTATCCTTCCCGTACCGTGACCCCAATGCCTCGGTCAACACGATCCCTCCTTCTTCATCAAGTCGCCGTCTCTGGAACCTCTCGCGCTTGAACGAAACGGACGTACACAAGCTGTACATTGATACTTTTCGCTGCCTGTCGGCACCTCTCTCTACCCAACTCCGGGACCTTTCCCATGATCCGCCTCCTACCCGACCCCCGATTGACCAGCTGAACCACGATCTTAACGATCTTATCTATACTGCATTGGACAAATCGGTGTGCCGGCGTGCCCCTCGGCCTCCTTCCTGGAAATCGTTTTGGAATGCAGAGCTACAGGCTCTTGCTGACGAACGTGAACGTTGCTACCGTCGATGGCATCGAGCCATTGGGCTTGACAAAGTCCCCTGGTGGGATCGCCTCCAACATGCTGCTGCCCGTTTCCGATGTGCTGTGCGTTATGCTAAGCGTCAGGCTTGGCGTGCATTCTGTGATAAATTGGCCCGCGGCGATTTCTCTCGTGCAACTGCGACCGTCAAAAGTATCCGAAACCGCCGTAACCAACAGGTGCGATTTACACATCCCGATGGCCCTGCGGTTGGTGCCCAAGTCCTCCGCAACCATATGGCGAACGTCTACTCTGGCCAGCATCTGCCAATTGCCCGACCTCCTCCACTGTCTGCCACCAGCCAATCGCTTCCCTTCGACATCGCCTCTACCTCTCTCTCGCACACGTTTACCAAAGAGAACATTATTGCCACCTTGAAACGCCTATCACAACGAAAAGCCCCAGGTCCCGATGATTTACGTGCCGAAATGTTACTCCCGATCGCAGACTCTCTTGCCCCCTTGCTTGCCCACCTGTTTACCATCTGTACCCAATGGTCCTATACTCCCACAGTGTGGCGTCATGCTCAGGTAGTTCCTATCCACAAACAAGGTGCCCCCAACGACCCTGCCCACTTTCGTCCAATTTCTCTGACCTCGATTGTACGCAAACTTTTCGAGATGATTCTCTTACCAGCATTGGAAATCACAGCCCCATCCCTGGACGTCGCACAAGGCGGTTTTCGACATCAACGTAGTGCCCTGGATCAAGCCCTCTGCTTGCACGACTTGATGCGCGCCTACCGCGATCGTCACAACCACTACCCTGTTGTTGCTTTCTTGGACATCAAGGCCGCTTACGATACTGTTGACCGTCGAATTGTCTGGCAGACCCTCCTT